CAATTTTTATATGTAACGTTTCGTCTTTCCAGGACCATCATCAACTTCATTTGTTTAAATACAACCCTAGATATTTTATTACATTTTTTGCAAGCCTTCATGACCCCCAATACTGTACTGCCTCGGCCCGAACCAGATTCAGACGTTTTGTCACGAAAAAATCATCTTCAGTGTATTCGTTCCAAATTTATTCAAAGTTTTTTTATTTAGATTTCTTTTTTTATTGAATTATCGCACACTGTAAGTGCCGTTAGACCCTGTGAAATCCATCTAGTTAATTAAACTATTACCACCACGCATTAAAATAAAAAAATGTTAGAGTTTTATTCCCGTGTCCCTTGTTATTTCTAGGCTATTGTGTTCTATCTATCACTTATCACTGAGCCAGCAACTTTTCCTTGCATTATCATTAAAATAAAATTTCTAAAATGGATGTATAGAATGAGAAATTCGATGGGATTTCAAGATGTCCCACAAATTATTAGATGGCAATACTAATGGCAGCTTTGTTCAATTTGAAGAAAAAATCATCAGAATTGTAATATACCCCATTTATGTTCCAGTTTTATTTTATTTCAAATGTATTTGTATAAACTCAAAATCCATATTTCTCAATTCATATTCAATATTTTATTTGTGTATTGCGATCTATTTTATTTCTGCCTGTGAAGATTATGAATTATGACATGTTTACTTGACAGATTGTTGACTTTTTGTAGCAAGTCAATGTTGTGTGTCTTATTTTTCAATAACTAAGTAGGTTATTTGTTAAATTATTAATTAAAAAAATATTAATTTTATGAATGTTTTCCAGTTTCTTTGTTTATAATCCCTCGGTCAGTTAAGTCTATCAAAAAATGCCCTTTTTCTTTTTAAAGAATACAAGTTTAACTATTTGCATGGGCGTCCGCAAAAAAAAATACCAAAGGGATAAATACAGACTAGGTAAATTATGACAAAAAACAGATTTTACAAACTATATCAGTAAATTTTACCTATAAAATCGGTTCTACATGGCCTAGAAAACTAAAACTAAAAAAACCGTTTCCCATCCGTGAAAATATGAAACGAAAACAACGAATTATATCAGAACTGATACGCCTGAACCTCCAAAGCTTGTTCTTCCCCCAAAGTGCACTTGTGTACTGGAACTGGTAATAGCCGGCAAATGGGTTCGATTTTTTTCGTCTGGGCTGTGAGTGAGCAACGCGAACGAGGGGCGAGTGCCCATTATTGTGGGAGGAAGGTGGAAACTAAAGAAACCGCGAGCGGCGATGGGCGGAGCGCCGGGCGATATTTCACAGTTCAATTATGCCGCGAAACACGTTAGGACGACGGCAGCGGGCGAAGTGATTTCCAGCGGCGGCGAGCGAGGGGGCCCGGAAGGGTTCGAAAGTTTGAAAATTAAAGAAATTCCCGCGCATTTAGGTCGCTATTGTTGTCCTTTCGATAAACCTTATTAGTCTATCTCTGTTAAAATTACATTAAACGTTAAAAAAAATTAATATAAAAAATTATAAAAATTATAAAAAAATAAGGTCCACTTCTTATTTGTGGTAGGGCGAAATGGGCGGTGACTATTAAACGCCTTCACTATACCCATCCTTGTCTATCACATGGATTTCTATGGCTTACTTTATCGCTCTCACGTAACTTCAGATAGACCATCGGTACTTTCCTACCCGGTATAATTTGGACAAAAGTAAAAAGAAAACAATTCTATTTCTATAAGAAGCCTGATGAACAATGTTTATTAACGAATGTAATTCACGCTACTCTATATGTATAAGGACATATTAGTTTAATTACGGATTTTTTTTACGGAGCTTATACCTAGTAGAGAATTTCAGCGAAATATGACACAAAGGTTATATAGTTATTAAAATTCCTGACAGTAAGACACATAGTCAGAGCACATTTGCCAATTCATTTGTAATTAATTTTACATTATTTCGAAAATACTGTGTTTTACGCCTACACTTTACTAAAATTTTAATTGTTTCATTAGATATGCTAATAGAAACTGTGTCAATTATTTTTCCGTAGGTATATCATTTGTTAAAAACACAAGTAGCGGCAATGCCACAGTGCCTTAGTTTCTTCCAGAAGTAAATTAGAAATAAATTCCAATGAGCCAGTTAATAATACTGAAAAAATTTAAATTAAAATATCAGATTTACTTTGCAATATGANGTTTCTTCCAGAAGTAAATTAGAAATAAATTCCAATGAGCCAGTTAATAATACTGAAAAAATTTAAATTAAAATATCAGATTTACTTTGCAATATGAAATTTTAACAATCAATTCAGTGTATTAATTCATAAAACAATTAAATGAAAAATGATAAAAGTAATAACTCCAAAAAATGATTTATATATGCAGAAGGCAACTAAAACGCTTGGGCAAGCTTCAGAAGCAGATTCTTTGTCGTGAACTAATAAAAACAAAAGAGTTCCTATAAACATGTACCTTAAAATGCTTTATTTTCGAGATATGGGGTTTTAAAACTAAAAAATATGTATGACATTTTTTCTGAAATCTTGCCTTTTTCGAGATATTCATGGTCAAAGTGTAAAAAACAAGGTTTTTCGCGAATATTTCACGTCCAATGCATTGAACAGCAATAAAGTTAGCACAATTTGTAGAGAATTCAATTATCTACAATATTGGTCACTTGCATTTTTTCCCGAAACCTTGCCCTTTTCGATATATTCAAGGTCAAAGTTTAATAAACAAGGTTTTTCGCGAATATTTCACGTCCAACTGCGACTGCGATAAAGTTAACACAATACGTAAACAATTCAAGTATCTATAATATTGGTAACTTGCATTTTTTCCCGAAATTTCGCCCTTTTCGAGATATTCAAGGTCAAAGTTTAAAAACCAAGGTTTTTCGAGAATATTTCACGTCTAATGCATTGAACAGCGATAAAGGTAACACAATTTATAGAGAATTCAATTCCCTACAAGATTGATTTCTTGCATTTTTTCCCGAAATCTCACCCTTTTCGAGATACCTTGACCTTGAATACACAATTTGTAGAGAATTCAATTATCCACAATATTGGTCACTTGCATTTTTCCCGAAATCTCGCCCTTTTCGAGATATTCAAGGTCAAAGTTTAAAACCCAAGGTTTTTTGTGAATATTTCACGTCCAATGCATTAAACAGCGATAAATTGATCACAATTTTAGAGAATTCAATCCTCCACAATATTGGTCTCTTACATTTTTTTCCCGAAATCTCGCCCTTTTCGAGATATTCAAGGTCAAAATTTAAAAAGAAGTTTTTTGCGAATATCTCGCGCCCACTGCAGTGGACAGCGATAAAGGTAACAAAATTTGTAGATAATTCAATTCTCTACAAGATGGGTCTCTTCATTTTTTCCCGAAACCTTGCCCTTTTCGAGATTAAAGTTAAAAAAACAAGGTTTAACTTTGACATTGAAAATCTCGAAAAGGGCAAGGTTTCGGGAAAAAATGAAGAGACCTATCTTGTAGAGAATTGAAATTTGGACAGCGATAAAATTAACAAAATTTGTAGAGAATTCACTTACCTATCTACAATATTAGTCTCTTGCATTTTTTCCTGAAACCTCGCCCCTTTAGAGATATTCAAGGTCAAAGTTTAAAAAATAAGTTTTTTCGCGAATATTTCACATTCAATGCAGTGGGCAGCGATAAAGTTAACATAAGTTGTAGAGAATTCAATTATCTCCAACTATCTTTTTCGAGATAATCAAGGTCAAAGTTGCAAAGAAAACGGGTTTTCGCTAATATCTCGCTTACGCATCTGACGTCATTGATGAAGTCATTGTAAAATGACAATTTAGCTATCTGCAAGACTGGTAAATTTACAGTTTTTAAAAAATATTTTTGAAAATGAATTGAAATATTTAAAATTGAACCGAAATATATTTTAAAAAATAATTTATAAAATATATTTTTCAAATAATTAAAATTCGGCAAGAAATCATCAATCTGGCATCTCGGGAAGGAAGAATTTTCGAAAAATATGCAGGAGATCAATCTTATACTAATATTATTTCCTATTCCATGACGTCCAAAGCATTGGGCGCGTGATATTTGCGAAAAAACTTGTTTTTTAACTTTGACTTTAAATATTTTGAAAAGGACGAGGTTTTGGGAAAAATTGCAAGGGCCCAATCTTGTAGATAATTAAATTTTCTACAACGTTCACAACGACCTTATTGATATCTGATGTACGGAACGCGAAATATTTGCAAAAAACTTTGATGTTGTTATTTTTGCGAATTTAGGTTAGACACCCTAAAGAACGTCTGCGCAAAAATTGTACCCTGTATATAAACGTTCTGAACCTTGGCTATTAGAAACTCCAGTAAATAAATATCAAGAATTTCGACGGACCAGTGTTCCAAAATTAAACATTAGAGAAACTTGTTTAANTATATATACGTTTCTGAACCTTGGCTATTAGAAACTGCAGTAAACAAATATCAAGAATTTCGTACGGACCAGTGTTCCAAAATTAAACATTAGAGAAACTTGTTTGAAGAGTTTTGCTACTTTTTCTAAGAACACTCACGAAATAAGCGATAGTCCTATTAACATGCTACGAATTTGCAAACAATTTACTGAATTATTTCTATCTACTAAAAGTTTAGAAGTACACAACACAGTTATGTTTAAAAACTAGAAATGTAAAAATAATTAAATATGTAGTCCAGCGAAAGTTGTAATATTACATTTGCAGCGCTATCTATGCACGAGAATCTACACTACACATTTCAAAATATCAAAGCTACTAATAGATTCCAATCCTATCGCAGAAAACTCTTTGTAGCTTTGGAAGAACAAATCGAATGGGCACGACGACCCCTGTAAGCTATCTACCTTCACATAGATGGCGCTAGCATCACCAACACGATCAACTCCGCTTAAATTAAGGCAAACCTGTCGCCTACTCTCGTCGAATCGAGAGCGGCCGACCCCGTCTACCTTTATGCCAGGTGGGCAAACACAGGTTAATGATATCAGTACCGCAGTACCTGTTATTTATCAGAAACGTAGTCGTTTCTTTTGAAGATCCGTTCAATACCGACATGTAAATATTGTTTCGCGTTTTGTTGATAGTGCTGGAGAGAGTACCTACAAAGCCATTACTTCATTGAAAAATACGCGGCGCAAGTTAAAAACGAGAGTTAAGTCGAGTGACCAGTGCAACATAAACAAATGAGAGATGTCAACTAATAGATTTCACAAGTAAGTGAGATGCTGATTTCCGTGCAGTTTTGGCCGGAAGTCCGCTTAGCTGGATGCTGCGGATCAGGGAAAATGTTACATAAACGCGTTGAAAATTAATCGGATCGTTCCAACAAATAGATCGATGGGTTCCAATTGCGAAGAGAAACGTTATCAAAGCAATAAAAAATCGTTTACGACTGTATCGATACTTTTATTTATCTAATCATTAGATAGTGAGATGGACGCAAAAGTTGCTAAATCGGGGTTTGGAAATCGGGAAATTGTCGTTGTTTGATTAGGAGTCTCGCATATTTCCAACTTATACTTTGCCAGATAGTTGATGGTATTAAGATACCGGCCCCTTCCTTGTATAATAATTTTAATAGTTCGGATAAAGTCATATGAAATGAAAACCTGTTTAGAGATTTCAAATTGGAAAAATGAGGAAAGTCCAAATAAAAACGCTTGACAAAATACATACCAAAATAATTTTCCAGATATATTTTGCTGGAAATAATATATTTTAACAAATTGTATATTCAAATCTCAAGCTAGTAGAACTCAAGAACAAATTAACAAAGAGTAAATGTATTTTTTTAATTTAAGACAACAAAGAGAAATTAAATTTTAAAATTTCATCAGTAAATAACTAAAAAATTTAATTTAAAATGTATTTTAACCAAATATCAACATAAAGAACTAAAAAATCACACTCAGAAAAAATTATGTGGTAAATTAATTTTAATGGAAACTCAGATAACTGATGCTTCTGATTCTAGAGGCATATGCTCTTGGTCATTGTGAAGATATTCAGAATCTTTATCAGCTGCTGGAAATAGCTTGTTGATAATTGTATTAAAATAATTTCTAAAACTTATTTTTTTAGATAGTACTCTGCTTATTATAACCCTTTATAGAATAAATTTTCACAAAAGTTCAATTTTTCCAAATTTTTCCTTTTTTTACAATTTTTCTGGGAAACGTCGACCGTAGTCCAATTTTTTCGAAAATTTTTGGACTACTCATCCACATAAGTCAAAATAAATCACTGATATGCCTACAAATGNCTGAAAGCTGAAAGTTCTTCCGTTAATATAATTTACCATAACTTTTTTTCAGTTAAGAGATATTTTTCAATTTGGTAGACTTATTGTGGAAGAAACCCTCAAATTTTGACCTGATGCACGTAAATGGTATTTATTGATTTTTCAAAAATTAAACATTAATTTTCATGTTAAAAGATCATTAAAGATCCTTTTTGTTCGAAGTCGATACTATTGCCGAGAAAAAAACGCATTAAAGTTTTATGACCACGTTTTCTTTTTTTTTTGTTTTTTTATTTATTGAATATTTTGCCACCCGAACAATACTTAAAAAATTAATGAAATCTTACGCCAAAAACTCAATCAAGGGTTATTTCTTATGAAAATATTTTTGCCTAACTTGAAAATTCTAGATGGACTGTTTGTTTTCATCTGAAACCTCCGTTTTAGAGCTGCCAAAGATGGCATGTTGGAGGTACTTAAAGAAGCCACCAAACGGGACTGCAACTGTAGAGATGAACAAGGGATGACCCCCACATTGTACGCCGCTTTTCACGGGAATTTGGACGCGCTAAGGCTGCTATGCGGAAGGGGGTAAGCCAAAAAAAAATTTTTCTCTAAACGTATTACAGGAAACCTCGTCTTGTGAATCAACTCATACCCGTATCTCAAGATATTATGATACAACTTATCGAATAAATGGAATGTTGTGATAAAATCAAAAAGATTACTATTGTTAGCAATCCGAACAATTTCTTGGTCATTCTATAGCAGTGTAACATCTAAAACATCGACACTAATTTATTTACGTGTGTATTTCAATACAACTTTTTGTACTTTAAGGCTGATTTTCCGTACGCTCTTGCTCTTGCCATATAATGTAAAGTACATTCATAGATTTAAGAAAAAGGCTACCTATTTGATGTAAAATGTTTCCGATGGGATCATAAATAGATGAGATTCTTGTAAAACCAGCCATTGGTCAGTATAATAGGTCGTAATTTTGATTATACTATTTAAATATGTCGCATACATTGATTAGTAATTAGTCAAAACTAAACACAATAATAATAATATCTCTACTCCTCATTCTAATTACGAGAATTAGCCCAGAAGTCGGAGACTTGTGCGGGAGAGGAGTAAAAGAGCAGTAAAATATTATTTCATAACTCGTTCACCTAATATTAATTACTGCCCCTGTATACACAAGGTGTTTGATGTAGCTCCAATAGTAAAAGTCCACTGGATTTAAATCCGGACTACGAGGTGACCATGGATTGTATGCAGTTCATCATGTAAATACCACGTCATGACGAATATTTAGTGGTACATCTTCCAATAACTGGAATAAATCGTTACGAAGAAACTTCAAATAATATTATGTGTTAAGTCTTAGTCAATATGGCCACTTAAATGATCCGCAATTATTCCAAATCCAGTGTTCATTTTAAACTCAAATTGAAAATACCGAATCCAAATTTTATTCGAGTCCTCAATGGTGAAAATTTTCTACTGAGAAGTACAGATAAATTTGTTGTTTATGCAATAAAAAATGTGCTGTAGGAACTTACTCCAACATTTTGTGTTATTTGGAGGATACAGATATTAGGATTTTCCTCAACTATGTATATCCACAATTCTTTCTTGTCTAACCATGCGGACTATTGGTCGACCATTTCGATGACAGGGGCGAAAGCTACCCGTTTCTCTCAATCTTTGAAACAACCTTGAAAATATCTTTCCATCCGGTTGACTGTTGGGATAAGTTCCTTCATAACTTCTTGTTGCACCTCGTTCGTTACAATTTTGTTTAGAATAAACCAAAATGTCCGGATGCATGTCGTGAATTTTTTTATTATAATTCCAGAAGAAAAAATGGTCAAATAATATATTTTGTCTGAATAACAAAAAAGCGCAACCTATACTGATATAAACTGTACACTTTTTAATTTTAAAGTACAGTTATTTTAATCGCCAAAATTAAAAGTAGTTTGTAAGTAAAAAACATGCGTATTATTAGCGAAATACTAATATCATCCGTTTATTTTAATTGAAATAAACTTCCGCGTCAAAACAAAGTTAATATGCATAAAAAAAAAAGAATCGAAAAAATGTCAATTTTTAATTGCTTCCAATTGTTTTATATTGTGCTAAGAGCACACATATACCAGAAAATAAGTTGAATTAATGTTTTTCAGGATCAAAGATCCCATATATTTATCAACAAATGTATTTTAATCATTAGCTGGTTTAAGTACATAATCTCTTAAACCAAAAATCTCCCAGTTTTTTAATTATAGACTAGTTAGATAGACGTAAATTCTTGAAACACAGAGCAGATCTGTTTAGATCTACAGTTTGTTTTATGACATCTCTACATAGATAGTCATTCTCTTAAATCTATAAATGTACTATACTAATTAAATGGAACAATTCTTGAAAACTTTTCCATTAAAACAAACTGCAAAAATTATGAAATAATTGATATAAATCAAACACAAAAACAGACAGATCTAGAATATAAAAAATTAAACAACAAACGTGCTAAAAAAGCAAATAGAATGAATATAACTAGTGCTGTTTTCTAATCTATCTTCATCTAATAAGATTCTAATTTAAAGATTACGCTATCTGGCTTAATACTTTTTCGATAAAAAAATAGTCATACTTATTTCGAGAAGTTATGTGAAAACCGAAATTTAATTTTAAATGTAAGTTACTGACATGACAGCAGTACTCATCTCTATAGATACTTCTTTTAAGATAAAGATGGAAACAGAGATAAGAGCGTATACGTAAAGATTAAAATATCAACTATTTTTACTGATGATTGATTGTCAGTATTAAAACAGCTTAAATAATATAAGGATATTATTGTTTTAGCAAACCCACCTAAACACAAAGGCGCGCGCGCAGATACTATGAATTTTTCAGGACAAAGTACCTAATCTTCGTAATCTGGGTAATTGTTTTTTTTTTCTCTACTACGACATACATATTTTCACTTTTGGTTGAGTCACAACTCACACAGCTGATTGCTATTTGTAAATCGCTAGAAATGTTACAAACATGTTCATTATTTTTAAATACAGTAAGATTAAATTTGTGGATCATCACTAACAATATTCTATTCAACACCTAGAGCCATATTACTTTTAGGGTACAGAAGGATATGTAAATAAATATGACGTGGTACGGCTACAGTACATGTAAACCAGCAAATTCAGATGAGTGGAAATCGTAAGACGCGCGTAGCAGGCTGTGCATCGTATTCAGTATGCAGGAACCCCCTCCACAATTCGTGTAATAAATATTTCATTAGAAATTTCTCCAAGATAATATTTTTGCCACAACTTAAGCTTCTTGTAAGTTGTGATTAAAAAAAGTGACGATTCAGTCTTAGAAACTGCTTGGCGAGTAGAATGCTCAGCCATAATTTCCGAGAAGTCCAAAGAGAGATTTGATCCCAACTGTTCCAAGTAACTATACAATTTGAGTCTTGCCTACGCTGTAGTATATGCTGATATACACACGTTAACAGTGGTGAGAGGGTCACAGGCTTTCCAGTTAATTATTAAGGTATATCTTAAGGTATTGTACGGGGATGGTTAACTATTGTTGTATTAGTTTGGTTTTCTTTCAGCCCAACTTTCCCCAAAACGAATTGAATATTAATTTTGACAGCGAACGAACACCTGGAAATTCTTGTTGGACATCTTCTCGCTTCAAGAACTCTTCAATATATTTACTGCGCTCTTCTATCGTGTTACTCATTTTGGGCCATCCTGAAGCATGCTGCTTAGCTTTTATAAATGTATTCATCATCGTCATGAAGAACCCTTCGGTTTTTGTAATTTTATCAAATTTTTGAATCTCATAGCTCCAGACCTCATACACCTCCATTAATCTATATCCCTTTTCCACGACTTTTAGTACCTTGTCGATTACCAATGTTCCAGTTACAGCTCTTTCATTTTCTTCATGACAGCATGTGCTTTTTTGCATTATGTTCTCCACAGGCCCGACAAAGTATAAACGTTAGTTTATTATTTATCTTTTACGGTAAAACGGGGTGATATAGATACTGAGGTGGCATAAGTTCGCATTTTAAAAGCCCATTTGTTTCTTTCAGATTCATACCGTTGCATTCTTTACCAGTCAATACCTTTGGATGACCTATGGGAAACCTGCCGCACTTGTAAACCCAGGGACATAGGGAACACACATCCAGATATTTTATTTTTTCACTGCCTAACTGTTGTGATATTCGGAGATGTTCCCTGATCTGCCACCATAAAAAGCATCCCGTGGATTTAATGGTGTGTTTAGAAGTAAGGGGTGCTTTTCAGTGTAAAGACTAGTTTCTTTGTTGTCTTTTATCGCCTTTCGGAACTCTCATTCCCACACTTTGATGACGTTGTATCCTAGATCTTTTAGAGGCTCCGTTTTGAATGTTGTACTTTCAAAGCGTCTCTCTAGCGTATCTGATAGGTCTTATTCGTGCGTGAGTCTGTTTCTGATACACTTGAAACAATACCCGTGGAAATATTCAAGCTATTTTCAGCGTGGTGTAAAAAAAATATTTTGAAAATACCACAGCAAAGGTAATGCTTCGAACAAATGAAACCCTATCCCTAAAGTCTCCAGGAAGCTTATGAACAATACTTTTGCATAAAGCTGTTGATATTTCAATATATGTTACGTTCATTGCTTTTGTTAAGTGGAAAAATATTGGGCATAAATTGAAAAAAACAAAAACCTTTACCAGAGGACACGTACATTTTTTTTTAATAATTTTACTGATGAAGTCTATGTAAATATAAAAGTAGAAATGATATTTGGAATAGCAGGGGCGTGCAGAATAGAAGAACTATATAGGCTGTCCCAGAATAAATGGATTTATACAAGAGACGTTAAAATAATCCGATAAGTCCCTATAAAAATTTTCCCTAGAGGGCCTCCATACAGAGTTACGAACCCCTAAAGGACGCCCCTGAAAATCAAGGTTTTTATAATAACTTTTAAAATATGTACTTAGTGTAGATAGTGACAGATAAGACTCCTTAAAAATTGACTCATGAAAACAATTTGGCTTATTTGGTTTGCCAGGGACGGTCTAGCTGTAGCACAATAACGTCAATTTTTTTACGCCCTTTACGACAAATGCACAATAAGATCAAAGTGCTGATAACATTTACATATGCTACGCTTGTACCATTATTTTGAAGAGGAGATTCCTCGGCCGAATCGTTTTTGACTTAAATTTTTTTTTTTTATTTATAGTATGAGAATACCCTATATTTTTCCTACTATTTCCGACTTGAGCATTTAAAAATTATAATTTCCGGCGCCTATGATTATAAGAGATAAACGAGGATAAAGATGTCGCCCCATCTTAAGATCAGGTCATACGTGAAAAATGATAAAATATAATTAATATAAAAAATTTGTATTTTATTACATGCACTTTCCTAGAACCAATTTTGTTATAATCAACATTCTCAGATTTTATTAATGTTATCTGTTGTTCATAAATTACTTATCACGTCATCCACGAGGTGAAACAATATACAAGGTTCCTCGTTTCTGTTTTTTTTTATTGCCATAATAAAATCGTGCTATTAATTGATTAAACTTCCGCCATTTGGAAAAAAGGGTACTAATTCGTTTATGGCTTGTCTTAAAATATCAAAACAACTGCAAAAACTGCAAACTCGATTTAAAAATGGAGCATCATTGAAACAGCCTTTAAGAAACGCAGTGAATGTGGGAAAACGTTTTAATACACGTTTGTAGAGTATATAATTTTCATTGTGAGTATAATAATGCACAGTAGGTGCATATAACAGATATTTAATGATTTGTGCACAGTAAAATATTAACAGCTGGTTATAGGTAATTTTATTTGCTCAGTATACAGGGTGATTCAGAACTTATCCAAAAAAATGTGGGAATAGATGCGGCATGAGAAATGGAGTCAATATCGTAAAAAAAAATTGTAAAATCCTTATAGTTTCCGCGAAAAAAATTATTGAAGTTATAGTACATTCAACGACTACATAGCTGGACAACTGTAGTCTCTCTAGCGTCATTCGTGGAGAGCCACGTGGCCTCAGCGACTCCGAATACTGAAATCGGATTTTTCAATCGTCGTTGCAATAGTATTTACCTGTTATCTGTGATGTTTACAATAGTTTTTTTAGTAGTTAGTGTCAAAAATAGTTTGCGTGTATAGTAACTCGGAGTTGATGGATATCGGTTTAATTTATGGTGAAACATTTGTGTTATGGTGAGGCAAGACAACATTTAAAATAAAATTTTGAACAATTGTTGTAACATCGGATAAGTCAAATGATTTTATTATTTAAAAACACAAATTAATTGTATTAATTAATAAAGGCAAAAGCAGTTGAATTTGCCGATATAAAATAGGTGCGATAAAATTCTATTTACATATTTCTTTCCTTGCGAAAGTTTTTGTCCGTTTTTATCACACTGCCATGCCGGTCGCATTGTGCCAGGTCAGGTTTTACAGTGGACCAGTTTCCAGTGCCGTGCAGAAGTGTATTTTTAAATAATTTTCAAACTGCCCTTTTTGATTTTTTCTTTACAAAATTGTATTTGTAAGGATCCCCTGTATATCCAAATTTTTTTTTTGGATAAGTTCTGAATCACCCTGTATAAATATCAGATGACAAGTATAATATATAAATGCACCGTAAATTTGGTCTTAATGATATTCTCTGACAAACTTAAATGTGGTGGTGATAAAATTTCCAAATTATTTAGTGGGAACAAAATTCAAGGATTTTTAGTGACGATATTTCTCAGTATCTCCGCTACTGGTTATCAGATTTGTGTATAGACTTTCCGACCTCAATTTAAGACCAAAGAGTTTGGTGGTATTATCAGGTTCGGTCGCTACGCAACAACTCGGCATTGAAATATTTGAAAAACTTGTTCCCATATTTATTGAGCCATACTTATATACAGGTTTGGTCGCCCAGTTGAAGAATGTGCGCGCGGGCAAATGGCAAACAAACACAGCCAGACTGGGCAACCAGCCATAAATTTTAATTGTCGACAAATTGCTTAGCAGTGCAGTGCAGTGCTTGGGGGTGAAAATTCGAAATATTTGGAATTATTCAATTTTCGTGGCTGAAAACAGGTATGAAACGGAACAAAACGAAATACCTACCCAGACAGTAATGAATTAGTAGAACTATTTTATACCTAGCAGCACTTACACGTATTGGAAGTTGTAACTTTACAAAAAATAAGAACAATGTGCGACTGTACAAAATAACTTTTAACGTCATTTTCTTTTTTAATTAGGGGGGATCCCGACAAAGCCGACCTGTTCGGCAACACCGCGCTCCACCTAGCGGCCGCCCAAGGACACAAACACATCGTCACATTCCTGGTGAATTTCGGCGCCAACATATATTCTACCGACGTCGACGGACGCACGGCCCAAGAATTAGCCGGGATAAATAACAGGGAGGACATACTGAGGTACATAGATGGCATCCACGCGAAATTAGAGGCGCAGGACAAGAAGAAAGTCAGGGCCCTGCAGGAGAAGGCGAAGGAGGACGCCAAAAAGAGGATAAAGGTAAGCAACGAGGCGTTACTACCTACGGAAGTGGCCAGCGTACACTTGTACGCTTATGACGCGCACTGACACGCCTCAGCTGGTGCCACTGTTACAGTTATATTTAATTTTTTATTTATATCAAAGACCAGATTTAGTATTTATCCATTAATTTTGGTTTCCAGGAATTCCACAAACGGAGAGCCAAACTTGAAGAAAGAAATGACAAACTGGAGAGGAGAAAGAACAGGGATTACAGACCGACCATGATGGAAACCCTGAGGTCTAGGATAATAGGAGGTTCCATGTCGAATCTAGCCAACATCGGCACTAACGAGAGGAGGAACACGTACAGCGCAATCATCAACGGGGGCACTGTGACCAGCGGCAAAGGTTCCATGAGTTCCGTGCAGCGCAAAATTCTGGCAACCAAAAATAACAGGCTGGGACCGATCGATGACGAGTTTAAGGTAAGAAGAAGTGCACAAATTTCAACAATTTTCGAGATATTTTAACATTTTTGACAGATTTTCGAAGAATTTCAATTTTCAGAAACTCACATTTTTTTACTATTTTAAGGTTAGCGAAATAGAAGACGGTAAAAGAACCGTGAACTCATTAAAGGGCATCAGAAGAGACTCGGAGGTACTTTATGGAGGAACCATCGAAAACGTTGGACAATATACGAAAAGGGGCCGTCTCGACGGAATCTTCAATGAAGCCGAGTACATCGACAATGCACCTCCTCCGCCTAGTAGCGGTTTAACAAGGTCCATTTCTCAACCGGATTTCATGCAGGAACTGCGTAAGAACGGGGATAACAGTTTGAACCAGGAACCACCCAGTATATTCATCAGACCAGGAATGGGGAGCATAGTCATCAGGTATGATTTATCTCGTAGGAAATCGATGTAAAAATATTATAAGCAGAGATACCTAACGAAAAACTTGTTTTTTTTTTAGGAAAAGCATCACAAATTCTTTTGGGGGATTCTACGCTAACCAAAGCGGTCAGGAAGAAAGTTCTATTGGATCTGGTGAAAGTTACGGACCTAGGCATACGACAGATGACGAATTGTCAGGTAAAAATCATAGTAAAAGTTGAAGATCTCCGAACAAAGGTGTCAGCTGCCCCAAGTTGCCTATTGTCTATGCTAGTGGCCCCAGATTCCGATAAAAAAAAATATACCGAACTTAGTCTAATTTTTTTTTTTGCAGATTCCACATCTAGCGAAGACGATGACCCCAACGGCCCCCTAGAGCGATTCCTGACGGCTTTCGGCCTCGGGGAATACCTACCCAAGTTCGAAGAACAGAAGATTGACCTGGACACCCTGATAATTTTGACGGAGAACGATTTGAAGAGCCTCAACTTGCCCATAGGACCCCACAGGAAGCTCGTCAATGCCATACACGAGAGGAAGGCCGCTCTCGAGAATCCCGGGGAAGTAACGGACAGTATGCTATAGATACACACCCAGTTACCAATATCCGTTGGTAGAAAGTACGATAAACGTACAGGGAACAATTTAGTATAAGTAGAAAACTTTATGGAGCGATACAAACACTTTTTTTTGAAAATCATTTAATCGATTAGTGCATTTTCCAATAATCCTTATTAGTCCAAAATATACAGGGTGCTCAAATTAATGTCCTAAACGGTAACTATTAGCCAATTAAATTACATTTAAAAAACGTAAACATTCCAAGGACTAACTTTGTGTACGAATTTAACTTATAACGCCCTGTATACGTTATCGCTTCAGTAAACTGTCACGTGCACTGACAAAACATGTATATAGTTATATTTATTTTTGTCAAAACTATTTTTGTAAAAAAAATCATGAGATTTCAGATATTTTTAAACTTATGAACGCTGTATGCAATTTTATATCTCCCATCACTTTACGCTTCCCTACACTTTTTCTTGATATAGTGAGAGTTTAATATAGTAGTAATAATACGCTAATGTAACGCGCAGGCTATGAACTGAAGGTTCAATTATAATATCCGTTAGTATGCCAAAGTATTTTGAAATACTTTAAATAGTAGCTTTAGATGTGTGAATATTTTTAATTTATGAAAATTTAAGTCGTAACAGCAATGTAACAACAATGTAAGTGTACTTAAATCGAGTATGATATTAAAGAAATATGCACTTTAAATACAGTACTTTCATTAAAGAGGCAAGCACTTTAAATATGATTTCTATTGAAGAAATACAAATTTTAAACAGAAGGCTATTGAAGAAATATGTACTTTAAGTGTATAAACTATCTATTAAACTGTGTACTTTATAAAGACTATATTAAAGAAATATGCATTTTAAACAAACAAAACATATTAAAGGGCTTTGCGCTTCAAATATATAAATTTCTATGCTGAAGAAATGTGCGCTTTCTATTGAAAATATAAAAACTTCATATTAAAGAAATATGAACTTTAAATACAGTCATTCTATTAAGTTTGTTATTTTTATATTTTCTTTCTGCTTTCTATTAAAGTGGACAAATTACTATATTGAATAAGTATGCGCTTTAAATATGCTTTCTATTGAAGAAATACAAATTTCAAATACTGTTAAAGAAATATACGCTTTAAATACAGTACTTTCATTATAGAGACAAGCACTTTAAATTAATCCAACCTTCTATTGAGGAAATACGCAATTTCTATTAAAGAAACATACACATACACTTTAAACATGCTTTCTATTGAATACAAATTTTAAATAGATAGAAGACTGTTAAAAATGTGCACTTTAAATACATTACTTTCATTAAAGAGGCAAGCACTTCAAATAATCCGATTTTCTATTAAGGAAATATGCCCTTTCTATTAAAGAAACATACACTTGCATTTTAAATATGCTTTATATTGAAGAAAAATAAATTTTATATAGAAGACTATAAAATACATATGCACATTAAATACAGTACTTTCATTAGAGCCAAGCACTTTAAATAATCCGACTTTCTATTAAGAAATTTTGCACTTTCTATTAAAGAAGCATACACTTTAAACACAATTTATTAAACAACTACCCACTTTAGATACTCTGTTAAAGATATAAGCACTTTACACAGTTGTTGCAATATGCAGTCATTTTTTTATTTTCATTCTGCTTTCTATTAAAGTGTACAAATTGATTCAATGTGTATTTTAATTTAATTTAAAAATAAATATAAGTGCATAAACTTTCTATTAAACTGTGCACTTTATAAAGATTTTATATTATATATGCACTTTAAACAAACAAATATATTAGGACTGTTGAAAATATGTGCTTTAAATAAACATTTTCCTTTAAAGAACTATGGTTTTTAAGTACACAAATTACTATACTGAAGAAATGTGCACTTGAAACACTTTTTATTGAAGAGATACCAATTTTCAATGGAAAAAATTATTAAAGAAATATGAATTTTAAATACAGAATTTCTATTAAAGAAGTATGCACTTTAAATAAACAAGACTCTCCATTAAAGAACTGTGCAACTTATGATAGTGAGGATGTGTGCACTTTGAACTCGGACTTTCTGTTGGAGAAATACACATTGTAAATAGAAAAATATCTATTAGGTATATTTTTACATTTTTTCTATCTTTAGGTTTTCAAACTTTCTATTAAAGAAATATGAACTTTAAATACATATGTTCTATTAAAATGTACACTTTTAGACTTTCTAACTAAAAATTATGCACTTTAAATAGACTTGTTAAAGAAATATGCACTTTAAGTACGTAAATTACCATAACGAATTGCACTTTAAACAAAGGTTTTCTATTGACTAAATATGAACTGAAAATAGAAGATTATTAGAGATATATGCCCTTTAATTTTGCAAACTTTCTATTAAAGAAATATGAACTTTAATGGATTACACTTTAAACAGACTTTTCTTGGAGAAATACAAACTTTAAATAGAGTACTCTCAAACAAATATGTACAACCTTTCTATTAAAGAAATATACACTTTAAATAAGTGAGACTTCGTATTAAAGTGCCATGCACTATAAAATATGGGGCACATGACCTGTGAAAGCAAAATAAGGGCACACTGGTTCAAACTGATTATCTGTAGAAACGTATAACAACTGATAACACATCCGTCTTCAAGTCATGATTTTTTAAATATGTCATGAAATAATATTTAAAATTTATGATATATACCATAATGTAGTATATTAAATAACGAAAAAAATGTACCACGTACCTCGAATCCTTGCATCAGCAGTAAAGTTCTTGTAATGGGACGTTTCAAAGGAAGGTGTCAGAAACCAGGAAAAAAGGATCAGAGTTCTTTCTTGAAATACAAAACGTTCACATTCAAAAAATTTATTATTTATACGGATGAAATAAATATCCTCAAATCCATAAGAGAACTATAAAAATATTAATGTTTAGTGCTGGAATTGTACGAGTACAGAGGGAAGGCCGTCGAAGTCTCGGGCACGTCGTCATCGGACTCGGTTTCGCCGTCCGACTCGAAAGTGTTATCGGGAATGTCGTACAGACGAATCATAGGCTTGTTGGGGTCTTTCATTATCAAGTACTTCCCGTCCTTCTGTTTCATGACGATGTCGATGATGCACCTCAAAATGCCCCAAGCGTTGTCCATATTCAAGTTGATCTGAGTGGCGAACTCGTGAGGTTTATACTGCTGCGTGCCGAGGATGACGTGTTTGCTGTTGTCCCTGACGTGGGCGCGGGACACGTAGCCAAACTTGATTTGATCGCTGCCGGCCAGTAGGGCCTGCACTGTCCACTTGGCCAGTTTGCAGGCGTTGTTTCTCAGTTCGTTAGCCAGGACGGCGCCCCTTTGGGTGTCTAGTTTTTGCCGCCATTCGACGCCGTTGGCTAATTTCGAGTCCCACTCGTTCAGGGCTTTGATCGAGAGGAATTGGAGTTCCCCGTTCGGAGACTGGACGACTGCGTCGTGCTCGCAACGAGCCACCAAAACCTGAAAAGTTTCGATCCTAGAGAGGCGGAAACTATGTACATACAGGATGTAACTTTTTAAGTGGGCAGGGTGTGTTTTTTAAGGCAGATAAATTGAGTTAAAATTTGTTTTTCAAACTATACGGAAGATTAGTTCATTTCAAAATGAAAGCACAGTTTTCATGCGACAAATGATGGGTGCATAAATTCGGAAAGGTTCAAATAATTTCCATTTTTCATGAATTTCTTTGATTTGTAACAGGATTCGGAACTGACAAATAATTATTAGTATGTGGATAAACATGTGTTATTAATTGTAAGTAAAAATAGTTATTTTATTAGCAAAAAATTCATAAAAAAACTAATCCGAAATATTCTTTAAACTTGTCATTATTAAAAGTGTAACATTTTTTTAAAGCACTGTGGTTAGTTTGTGAATCTCAATGCCAATGACCTCTGACTCTGCCCTAATTTAGACGAACTTCTGTAATATCAATCCACCTGATGTGATATGACAACTAGGCCAATGAAAAACATGTAGCCACTGTTAATTTGGAGACATAAGAATGGGTGATTACACAAGTCACACAAAAAAAGTAAAGTTATCAGTACTTTTCTTGCGACATAATATGTTTGCCTCCTGATCACGGATCCTGTCTGATAGGAATTTCCTAACCTCAAAAAACAGGTCAAAAATAGCAAAAATTCATGAGTGCTGGGAAAAATACAAAAAAAAATCTATATTTAAATGTTCATTTATATGGTGAAGACCCCACCGAATGTGAATTTGCAGTCAGAATTGATGGTTTTTTTTCTAACCTCAAAAAAACGGGTCAATTAAGGTCAGATATCAAGAATTTTCAAAAAATAACAGTTTCGCCACAAATTTGGTATACGGGGGTTTTTGGAGTCGCTGATCACGGATCTGAAATCGATTTTGCAAAATTCAAGATGGCGGATCCAAGATGGCCGACCAAATTTTCAAAAAATAACACATTCGCACCAAATTTGGTGTACGGGGATTTTCGAGGTCGTTGATCACGGGTCCGAGGTCAATTTTGCAAAACTCAAGATGGCGGATCCAAGATGACTGAACAAATTTTCAGAAAAACAGAAGTGAATTTTTAACAAATCATATTTTTTGGAGGGGTTAAAGAAATGGCAGAAACGTTGTGAAAAGTGTATCAAGCTAAAAGGAGATTATGTTGAAAAATTGTGAAAAACTTGCAGTTTCATTCCTAACATGGGTAATTATTGATCGACCCTTGGAAGTGTATAACCTCATAGTCACTTGTCAACGTTTAGTGATGGTATATAGTAGGATCGTATTCGATACAAATTAGAGCAAAAAATTGTCGGTCTTTTGTCTAAGAAAAATCGTGTCATCATTAGGAAGCATAAGATGAACCATTTCAAATTTAAAATAAAATTGAATATAAAATCTGAAATACCACTTCATATGCACTGTGTAGTAGCTGTAGTCGCCCAGGTGCATCGAGTGTACGAAGTGGTCGGTTATACGTCAAATACTAACCTGGCGAGCTTGGTCGTAAATCAGAGACTGCCTCCAAAAAAACAAGTAAACAACAGTGGCGCGTACAGAGGTGAAATGTAGTACATATGTGGAATTTAAAAACAAATTGGATTTATAATAAATTATTACATTTAAAGTAAATAGTTTATGAGAGTATAGAGATTTTTGTGGAAACAGGGTGCCAGACGTGAACTAATCCCTTCATAATGCATAAAGCAATTATTCACTTTCTAAACCCCTTAAAACCGTACTGCACTGGATCCCTTGACAGGCAATGATTTATTACTTTGCATCGAATATGATCCTACTATAGGTGTTTATGTGTTTCCATTGTTAAATTTCGATGATATGAAAAAAAACATGTACACGAATGAATCAAGAAAGGTTTAACAAAATGGGTGTGCACGTGCATTTGAGGTTTCAGCAGCATATGAAGTGGTGGGGTATAAAAACCATGAAAAACGTTAATACTTTTTGTCTTTCCGCTATAAAAACCACTAATTTTTCAAAAATTGGGAAGTTATTGATTTCAGGCAGATTTTCAAAAATCGAGTATTCATCAGATCTCGACGTTTTGAGATCATAGGAAGCTAAAGCTCAAACAACTACACCAAATGCTGTAAATCTCATCAAAATCAGTTGATCCGTTTGAGAATATTGTTGACGAAAAGTTTCGAAAAGTTTTTTTTTCTTCTGAAACGACATTCGAATTCCTAGTAAAATCTAGATTTGGTACTCAGCTATCTGTTTGTGCTTTAAAAATTGAATATGTTTTTAGATAAATACATGGTATAGCAAAAGTACCGGAATGGCAGAATAACTCGGCGGGAGAGCATTTTAGAGAAAAATGTTAAATATAAAAGTTTCAGGACTTCTCCCTGGCTATCCGATGGTGACCTTGACATTGACCTTGAAGATAATTTCAAGGTCAAATGTGATTTTTCTATACTTTTGACCCTAGAAATTAACAAAACGGATAATTTTACGTTCAGGTATGACCCCTCCCTTTTGATCTTGGGGCCCCCACAAGGTCAAACTAACAAAAGTACAGGTTAGTTTGACCTTGTGAGGGCCCCAAGATTAAAAGGGAGGGGTCACTCAAGGTCATACATAAAATTTTCCGCTCTTTTCATTTCTGGGGTCGAAAGTATAGGGTCCCATTTGAAAAATCACATTTGACCTTGAACTGATCTTCAAGGTCAAGGTCAAAGTCAAGGTCACCATCGGATAGCCTATATATTTAACATTTTTCTCTAAAATGCTCTCCCACTGAGTTATTCTGCCGTTCCAGTACATTTGCTATACCCTGTATTCACTTATAGATGATTTTATAATCATATATGTTTTTAGATAAATATATAAGTACATTTATTGTATTTATTTTTATTTGTAAATGCAACTTTTTGAAGAATTTTTGATAGAGCAAAAAAATGTTTTTTCTCAAGGCCCGAATTTTGCCGCCACTGGGAATTTGCCACCCTGGGCACTAGCCCCTAGTGCTCCTAGTGTAAATCCAGCGCTGGATCTTTTATGGATAAAAATTTAAATCTGTACTACTTATTTTCTAAATTTCAGCCCATTAACGCCAATCAAATCCAATTTCTTTCAGACCAGATAACCAAACTTGTATCTGCTCTGAAAGTCATTGGATTGGATAAAAATGTAGTTGCTGTTGATAATTTTTCGTTTATTGAAATTTAGCTGGAATTATATTATTATACATCAAGCACCAGTGAAAATAAAATTTTTGGTCCTTCGACCCACGCATATTTATCTAAAAATTTAATTTTACCAAACTTAAAACCAGCCGAATTTCGGAGGTTTTTAAGTGTTAGTTTTAAGAGTTTAAGTTTCTAGTTCGATCAAACAATAACAATCAAATGTACTCACGATTCCGCCTCCCAGGTCCCACTTCCTGTACCGATACGCAACACTAGCAACTTCACCTTCCTCTTCCTCGGAAACAAACGGATTCGGCTCCTCAAACTTGTAACGGGGCTCGTTGGTGCCCGTTCTCAGCACCTGAAACGATTCCATCAGTTCACTTACCCCTTCCTCAACAAATCACAAACCACGTACCTGCTGACTGAAATTGTGATTGATGAAAGTCGCCTCCAAAGCCAGATTCCTGGGCGAGTTCAGGGAGTTTCCGTCGTCCTGCGGGGGCTCAACTGAGGTCTCGTTCACAGTTAACAGATCGAATTCCGTATTGTCCCTTTTGTCGAAGAACAATTTGTCCCCTGCAAATAATTTTTTTTATTATTACAGTCTCACGGACGAGCCGACAACGTACCTATCTTCTCGATGACGATATCCCAAGAATAATTGGACCTGGTGCAGCACATAATAGTGGCCAAAATGGCATCGGTAGCGTAGACGTTGCCCTCCGTCTTGGACAGCTTACGGATGATGGGGTCGTCGGTAGTGGTGACCTACAAAATATTTTAACATGAGCTTCTCGACAGTCGTTTATTCTAGGAATTATTTACAGTGTGGAAGATTCTGTTGACGCTCTGTAATGGTTTCTCGTTCTTCACGTTGACACGATCATAGGATTTGTCGTAGTACTCCAATTCTCCACAACAAATTGTATCCTCGCCTGAAACAAACGTAAACATAAAATTTCACATCCCGATCAACAAACGCTTTGTCTTACCATCTTTAATGCTTGGCAGGGAAAGTTTTCCCAATCTAGGGAAGTCCATTTCCTCGATGGTACTCCAGTCGGGCTTGACAGTGACCGATGCATCCCTTATTTTGATTTGAGGCTAAAAATTTCACACTATTTACAACAAACTAAAGAAGAATTCAACAATTTACCCTTCCTTGGCCCCATCTCTTCACCTGACTCCTCTTGTAAGTGTCTCTGGCTTTGAGACCTTTGCCTAAAGACTGCATTCCGCCCGTTTGCATATTACCACGACCTCCCCTACCACGCATATTGCGCTGGTTGGCACGGAAACGACCTCGCTGGTAAGGAGGTTTCTGGATACGAGTCGTATCGACAAGATGAAAAGTACTTTCGTCTTCATCGTGGTAATATGCATACTGACTGCCAGAACCGAACTGAGAAGCATATTTGCCTGGAAAACCACAAGAAATCGAAGTATAATTATGTGAAAAGTAATTATTTAGTATAGGATAAAATGCCCAAATCGTCAAAAAAATTTATGTAGGTTTCAGGATATCTGTACTGTACAGTAAACATTGTTTAAGAAACATATTTTCGCAAATTTCAAGTAAAAATATACATATATTTAATAAATAATTCTTTCTGATGATCACAAAGCGGGGGAACTTCGAATTGCAAACGGCGGACTGAAGAAAAAAATATTTTTTACTTATTTAATACATATAATACATTTTTACTACAAATTTGCAAAAATGTGTTTCTAACCTAACCTCAAAATAGTTCATGTAAATAGCATGGTCAAAAAAATTGTAACTTACTTGCGTATTTCTTGTCCTGGAACGCAGCTCCTGTCCAATCGCTTATTTTGCCCAAACGGTCGCCTTTGCTAAAGGGCTGATAGGGCATATCCTTGAACTGGTCCGGCATCTCGCAGGGGCCCCATCCGGTAGGGTTGTCTTGAATAACGGGTGCGGTGAACTGATGAGGCTCGCCTCCTGACTGATGGTCAGTCATAGTCTTCTATTTAGCCCTGATTTTGGCTAGTTCAGTTAGTAAAAATTTTACTTCTATACTTGCAATATGGCAAAATGGAGAACGGCCAACAGCAACAATTACTTTTGACAATTGACGTTATTGACAATTGACAATCGCCAATCGAAATGAGAAAAGAGATGGAAGGAAATAGATATCTTCGAAAGGTGGGAAATATGAAAAATGGTGGGAATATATTCTCTGATGAAATTTGGTTCATGATAAAAAAATAAAAATATAATTATATTATATAATAACTAGTCATTTTCTGCCTATAGAAGTTGAGCATGGAAAGAAAAATGGTTTTAAGACAGTCTTCAAGTTTCAATCACTGATCTTTACAATTTTACAAAATACGATTGTGGTAAAAAAAACTTTTGCGAACTCTGTTTTTTGCCACAGTATCATTGTTTATAGAAAATAATCTCAGTATTAATCTTCATGTACACAAAATTGGCAGATTCTTATCCAGATTTCTCAGTTCCGCGTTCTCAATCTGCCTTTTATGAAAATGGGAAATAACGTGACAGATGACAGTTTAATTTTGATATACAAATAAACAGACGCAAAGATATTATGAAAAATGAAAGATAATAACAGAAATTGAAAAGAAACTTTAACACATGGGCGTAGCTACAAATTTTGCTTGGGGTAGGCATCATGTTCTATGGAAACCTCTAAAAAAAAAAGCTCTCGCAATCAGCGACTTTCCGATATGGAATTTGAACACATTTTGATCCTAAAAAATAAAAAAGACGTCACGCAGTCACCGACTTACCGATTTGACAAAGATGTTAATATTAGATCTGGGGTGGACAGCGCCCCCTGCTCTCCTTTGCTACGCCCATGCTTTTACTGGTAATTTCGATTTCTTTCCCAGTTTTCAGGGATTTTTTAAGTTGGTTCGTTAGGTATGTTGGTAACATTATCTTTTTTTAATTTTGAATTTTGTAAAATTGTATCCAAACATTATTTGTTTACTAACATCTAGAATTACTGATCATTTTTTGTGAGTTACTTTAAATTTTTTTTAAATTTTTAATTAATTTAATTATTATTTTTTTATACTTAATGGATTCTTATCCTGTTACAAATCTTGTTTATATCCGTCAGCATTGTGGATAAATCCTCTAAATATCTACTTTACAAAGTTAAACAGTAAAGACGTCAAAATTAAATCAATAAAACATCAAAAGTTATCACATCCCTTTTATTGATCTCCGGATAACCATTTTAATATTAAAAAAATGAACACAAACAACACTCAAATCTCTGAAAAAAAAATTTTCTAACAAATCACCGTTTAACAATCCTCAAAATTCAAATACTGATAATATTCGTTGAAACTATAACAAAGCTGACGCTATTCGCTATATTTATTCTCAAAATCTTTAATGACGAACAAAATCTTTGCTATAGCCAAGTCAGCATCATCATCAGTAATTTCCCAGTACGTGACGAACCTCACGTGTTGCTTATCTCGGGAAGATGCCCTAACGGACACTTTGATAGGATCGTCTTCCTGAACATCAGTAATTCTTTTTACGAAATCCTTGGCCACAAATTTGGAACTGTTCAGTTTCAAGATTAGGATGTTCGTCTGTACCGATTTGAGGTCTATTTTGAAAACGGGCGAATTCAGGTCTGAAATTGCTGTGAAAAAAAAAGCTTATGAAAAGATATCAGCATCGTTTAGTACTCTACACTGTTTCACTTTTCGTGGAGCTCGGTTATTTTAAGCCATAACGATTTTTTGTATGAAATAATTACTTGCAAAGCAACTATTCTGATATAACCAAATTTAATTTAGTCATTGGCATCCGATTCTACAATTAAAATAGGGGTGGCTGAAAAAATTATATTTTGCACACATATGTGCAACCCTTTTCAAGATCCCAGGAAGGCAACCCCAATTTTTAATTTTTAATTTTACAAATTCCTTCCAAATTTTTTTTCTTCATGGAAATTCTCTTTGTAGGCTCAAAAACAATCCCCTAAAAATGGGTCCAATGTTTTATTATCAAAATATGACCACTTTAATTTTCACCAGCCCTCACCGTAATTATTTCCATTTGTAAGGCCTATTGAGTAAGTTTTATAAAGATGGGCTTCATTATTACAGAGAATTTAATAAATTAAGAATACATGTAGCAAAGTAACCAGCCAAAAAACAAAAAAAGAAATAAAAAGGTGGAATGCATAGAAAAGTTGGTAAATTGAAATGGAGATAATTATTCAGTTATTTATTTTTACAGTATTTTTTTTGTTCTCTTGATATGTATTTTTGAAATAAATGCGAAAAACTTAGGGGCAGACAGATTCCTTTGCTAAATTTTTATTACCAACTGCATAAAGAAAATTTGCTCGAGAATTGAATAGCATTGTAAAAAAAAAGAGTAAAGAAAAAGTTTATCTAACCTTAATAGTTTTTGTTAACGGTTACCTAAATAAAAAAATAACCGTTTTACTACTCATATCTAGAGCAGTTTTAAAAATATTTAGATATTTCAATGCTGGAGAGACGCTAATGAAGAACATACATTAACTTTTAAATAGAGAAATAAATTTTAATATTACAACTCAGAATAATCGCTTTGCAATTAATTATTTCATGCTAAAATGTTTCAATTTCAAATAAAAAAAGAGATAAGTTAACTCTGTGAAAAGTGACACACACTATACAGGGTGGTTGATTTTCGATAGTTTTATAGAGTAAAAGAATAGTGAAAACGGCGATAGATACAAAAAATCTGATATTGATGTCCTGTCTTCTTTCTATGAGTTTACTTCGCTGGTATCAAAAGATCTGGGCTAATTTGATTAGTTTTAGATATAGGTACAGTTTTTTTTAAAAATCCCCATTTACTTAACCTCTATCTCTGTTGTCATTAAATTTAGGAGAAAAAATTTGAACATTATTTGTTCTATTTTTTATGAGGAAACCATTGGCGTACAAGAGATTTTTTACAAATGGCACAGTTTTTCCGATATTAAATAAACATAGGTTTTGTTAAATAGAACACCCTGTACTTGACCATCCCAGTGAATAGCATTTTTTTACCTTTTACTCACATATAATAATAGATACTCTTTATTTACCTAAATGAGGACAAATGCAAAAAATGTATAGGTATTTTTCCAGTTGGCCATGCAATTTATTTAGTATTTTGTCTTTTGTTGTTTAATATTGACAGTTATTTTATTTTTGACTGATTGAAAGGTTGTTGAACGACTATTACTTGGTTTTATAAATTTTGAAAGGTGTTCTGTTTAAAAAAATCTATGTTTATATGTATAATACCAGAAAAACTGCGATTTGTAAAAAATCTTAGTATACCAATGGCTTCGTCATAAAAAATAGAAATAATGTTCAAACTTTTTTGAAGAAAACCCTTTATATCTAAAACTAATCAAGTTATCCAAGATCTTTTGGTACCAGCGAAGTAAACTCAAAAGAAGAGGCCGGGGCATCGATATCAGATTTTTTGTATCTAACACCATTTTGGCCTGTACCCTATAAAACTATCGAAAATCAACCACCCTGTACATTAAGACTATATAAATAGGGTGAACCACAAGTAATAGTACAACACACAGCTGTGGAGAGTAGGGGTCACAATTTTTATATTTATCAATTATTCTTAAAATGTTCACAGGTAACAACATACAGGGTGACAAAATTAAAGTTCGTTTTTTATTTTCCTTTGTAATACATATTTTTAATTTAAATCTAAAAGTAAAGTGTGTGCTATGTTTAAAGTTTTATAAAAATAGAAACCCTACGGAAGATTTTGCTTCAAAATTGCATTTTTTAGGAAAGTGCAAATAAAAAATTTCACACTTTTTCAAGTCTTTTGGAATGATCATTTTTCGCTTTGGGACGCAGTATATTTTATTCTTATTAAGAAAACATTTACTGTTTTTTTTAACATTTTAAATGTAACGCCATATAGGAGCTAGATCAAAATTAAAGGAGTATTACAATTTCCACCACCATCAAAGGGTAAATTTTAACATCCTGTATCTTTATACCAATCGGTATTTTACAGACATAATTATCGAAATATCAATATTTTGGCTCCCTCCATCTACAGTTAACTGCTTTTTACCTAATTGCAGTAACAAAAAAGACACGACATGTCGTGCTAGAAATATTAAAAAACACGCATTATAATTGTGTAAAACTATAAAAAAAAATCAGTCTTACTAATGTTAAATGTAAAATAAAATAAAAATTAAGTTTGGAGCGTGACAAGACATAATTTTTTTGTTAAATTTTTATTTATTTATCTTTTTAACAATACAGTATAATTTTATCCTTAATTTGAGGGGAAGCAGGTATTTTTTTCTCTAGGAATAAAATGCACAACGGGAATTCAATTTATTGTATTTTTCAGAAGTCCCACTAATTTCTTCTATCAATCACGTTGATTAAATTTATTTCGTTCATAAAACACTGTACAACTTAACATTATTAGTAAAAGTACTTGCCCATATTAACAAATTACTGGAAAATTGTAAAAGTACAAAAAATAATGTACGAAAATGAAAAAGATAAAAGTATTATTAGTATTATTTGTCCTACTAAAAAAAACACATAAAAGCTAAACCTATAACAAAAGTAAAAAAACTGCTAAATTATTTCAAAAGCATTTAAAAGAGTTTTATATATTCATTAAAGCTTTATTACAGAACTTGTCGTTCTTGCACGAAACAGATATAAGTGTAACATAACAGTGTCGTTAGAAATCCATGGCCTGCCATTATTTATTTAGAAGCGATTTTTTGAAAAATCACTAGAGATTTTGATGAATTAAAAATCCGGCTACATAGATTTAATCATATCACTTAACCCTTAAGCTGTGCAATAGGTTCAATTAATTTTCAAGTATTTCCAATGCCTCCCAGATTTTTACACTGAAATAAAACTAAAAGATTTAAAACCTGAAGTCTATATAAAAAAATTATTTTGCATTAGAAATTGATAAAATTTGGAAAATTGTGGTTTTAAGTGAAGCTAATTAAAGCTAGATATCAATATTTTTAATAAAAAAAAGTCACTAGTTATTTTCCGAAAAATTGCTTTCAATAAAAAAAATAGCAGGAAAAAAAATCCGTTGGAATTGTACATCTCAAATATATTTTATTCTCGAACACAAGTAGGCTGTGCAGAAATAAATGGGAGTACTTTTTTATAGGTAAGACATGAAAGGTCATCACTTGGGGACCACTGGCTCCAAATTGCCATGAATGCATGGCTTGCTATTAGTTTTTATATGCGTATTTCAGAAAATCATGTTATGGATGTTTTTTAAAAAAATAACAGCATAGGAATATTCTACGTCCTAAAAAACAATCAAAAACCAAATTTGAAGAAAGATTATCTATTGATTTACTTTTCTACACTCCATTAGTTATGAAAAATGCAAAATAAAATTTTTTGCCGCACATCTAGGATGTCATAACATCAAAAACAATTGGAGTAAAACAAAAGGTATTTAGTTCGGTAGTTGGAAGGTTTTGTAAAGCAAAGAGGTTAAATATAAGAAATACAAATAATGATAATTATAACAGTAACAGCATAAATTTTATTAATGAAAACTATTTCTCATTTAATATTTTTCAACTATATCCTGTTTTTGATTTTACACATTTTAAACAGGCCCAACAAAATTTAATTTTGCACACAACTATTTTGAAGGATGTAAAATAATCATATGGTGTTATTTTGTCAATCTAATTTTTTCTGAAAAACTTGAAAAAAAAATCACTGCAGGCCAGAAGTGGAACAATGGAAAAACTAGTAGTTGGCAAATACCTCTCAAGACCCCATAAAAAAATAGTCCCACTAGATTCCCCTAGCCTACTTGTATTTAATGGGGGTGTTAACATGAAAAACCAGACACACTGTATATAAAAAGTAATAATTTATCACAACCAAACACATAACTACCCAGGCTATCCATCGACAGCAATATTACTGATAATCGAGGTTAACCCCTGTTTGAAAAACACCATACAACTCCCAAGTCGCCCCTAAAGCTTAAACTTCTCGTCATACTCCTTTATAACGAGCTGGATCTTCTCGCACGCCAACTGGACGTCCTCCGCGGTGATTTCCCAGTACAACACGAACCTCACGCAGTTGTAATTCAATGACGTGCACCTAACACTAGCCTTTACACTATCTGTCTGTAGAACTGTCTGTAATCTACGCTGTAATTCCTTAATGCCCACTTTGCTGCAATCCACGTACATCAGGAGGATGTTCGTCTGCACCGTGGCCAAGTCCACCTTGAAGATGTTGGACTTCATGTTGTAGATGGCTGAAAAATTTGATGGTAAGGCGTTGGGTCTGTTTACCAAAATAGGCCCGTTTGGTGTTAGAATCGCCCAGGTACGTGCTGCCGTCGCCAAGTTAGGTCCCCCTTAATGAATACTATGCACTACCGCTACATGCTATATACATGTTCAGTATATACAGAGTGTCCCACAAGGTGCGTTATTGAGCCCGCTGTTTTAATCTTCTATGATACGATTTTTTTAATGATGAGATCAAAGTTAATTAAGCGTTTTTATGAAGTTAGTAGCAACTTATAGTTGTAACAGAATTGTGTTAGAACCAGTTATACATTTACCAGCAAAGATATATACAATATGTGAATTGGCCAAAAAAATTGGGGGCAATAGAACCGATTCCAATTTATTGGGCAATTTTGGTGACTTTCAGTATCATTCTACAATTATTTCAACACTTGTTTTTTCATTTAAAAGGTACCCCTCAATTTTAACAAGTTGGTCAATTAATAGCAAGTACCTATACAGGGTGATTCATTAACAATGGGAAAATTGAAAACTGAAGATACTACACGTAACATGGTTAACATTGGCGTAAGCATGCCTTATTCGAAAGTTGATAGTTTCGGAAATACAGGGTGTTGAAAGTTAAAATTTTAAATCATTTTTTTTGCCATTATTCTGAAAATATCTAGGTTAGGAACTTGAAAATTTGTGAAACTATATTTTTTTTAAGCAACGAATAAGATGCATGATGCAATTTCAGCGTTGCTCATAGAGGGTGCCACTTATGACCAATTTTACCGAAAATTTAGTTAATAACTCTTTACCCTGTATGTCTAACATGAAACTTGATTCTAAACCTGCTTCATTTCGGTGTCTTGATCCGTTTTTGAGACAAATCGATTTAACAAACACTACATTTTGATAATACGAGAAATTAAAAGCGAAACAAACCAAGTGTTTCTTCATGTTATTACAACAATTAACGATAAAACAAATGAAATACGTAATTATGATTTAAAGTAATTGTTCGAAGAATCCACCCAGCGATTTGTATAATTTGCTACAACTCTTCACGCGAACCAATGGATTCTTTGTATACTATCTTTCATTGAGACCATAAAGAAAAATTAAGAGGATTGAAGTACGGACGTCTGGGTGGCCAATTTAAAATGCTGACATGGCCAACCCAGCAATTTCCAAAAACTGAATCTAATGCAATGCACGCACTGGCCGAGAAAAATACGGTGGAGCTTCGTCGTGCATGAACCACATGTCTCTTCTTGAATAAAGTAGAACTTCTTCAAGCCGTGGAAGCATTTTTGCTTGGCCACCCAGAAGTCCGGACTTCATCCTCTTGATTTTTCTATTTGGTCTCGAATGAAAGATATCGTTTACAAAGAATCTATTGATTCGTATGAAGAAAGAATACAAATTGCTGCCAACGAAGTCAACGCAATCCCAATATGTTGTTTCAAACTCGAAGGTCTCTCAGAAAACGTTGTGTAAAGTGTATCAGTGTCAACGGTGGATTCTTCGAACTTTCAGGTATTTCATTTGATTTATTGTTAATTGTTGTAATAACATGAAGATGTAGTATCTGCAACTTTCTATTTTCCCATTGTTAATGAATCACCCTGTATAAAGATATCACAAATATTGCAAACTGGAACAATTTCTTGGTCAAAAAATTTGTAAATGGAAAACAGGTTTTGGTAAGATAAATTAGCAAAAGAAAGTTGTGCAAAACTAAGAATGATTTTACATTCTTCCTAGATGTCCAGCAATACCCCAAAAATTTTTAACTATTGAACAAATTAGCCTGTCTCGTATTAGAAGCTGTTAAATATACCAACTACTCGCCACAACATATTCAAAAAGGATTATCAATACAATGTTTATACAAAACACTAAAATGTTTTTCTTTTTTCATTACTGCAAATTTTAATAAAAAAAATTATAACTAACGATATTGTGAGAAACAACTACTCTGAGAGTTAATGCTCCACCCAGCATCGATTTATGCCACCTACATCTAGTTTTTCCTTTTTGGGAAAGTAACAAGTACAAGTTTTGATATGTAGGATATTGTTGAACGGCGGTAGCGAAAATGTCTGACTTACTATTCTGCTCGCCATATTACAAATAAACAGCCATTTACTTTTTTTTAAAGGATATTACCAAATAATGTAAAAATATTCAAATATAAAGCAATGATACTGAAAGCTTCCCTATTAAGAGTGAATTAAAATTAATATAATAGATGTCACACTGTTCCTTATTTTCACGAAGAGAATTTCAGTCAAATTTTCTCAATCAAACTGATTTTATGACATCAAAATGAACTTTCAAATTATTAAAATAATAAATAAAAGATAATCTAGGAAGAGAATGAAAAGTTACCAGTTTGTTATTTTAAACAATATTTAGTTTTTTACCAATAATTACCAATAATTAATATTATGTAATAATAAATTTACCATAATTGGAAAACAAAAAACCATTAATAAAGTTTGGTTAAACAGTTTTATCAAATTTACGGTGATGTCAAAATCAAAATGACGTCTTCAAATTTTTTGATTAATCCAATTTGGCAAAATACAGGCCTAAGACCACCGATACCCAAAAATATTGAATCACTGGCAAAATTAGAGGTCTTTGTTGTCATATTAAAAGCTATTAAATATTAAATATACCTATTAACTGCATGCCACCACTTATTCAAAAAGCGTTGTTGTTAAAAAAATTTGTATTATTAAAAAAAAAATAACATTGTTTTCTTTTTCATTACTGAAAATTTTAAAGAAAAAACGAGCACTTAAATACTATTAATGCAAAATGTATATTCCACAAAGTAATACCTACAATTTCATTAGTTTTTCCTTTTATAAAAAAACCCTGACCAATTGTAAAATGATACAAACATTCAAAGTATAACGTTTTTTATACACCTTACCGTTAATAACCGAAAAGCAAAAATAAACATATTCACACATACCTTTGGCTATTCTGTAGGTGTGTTCGTGGTCCCTATAGAGTCTATCTATCATTGTATCTAGCGCTACCAAGCCGGCAGCTGCCAAAATCCCCGCTTGCCTCCAGCCCCCTCCAAGGGCTTTCCTGAAACGCTTGGCCCTTGAAATAGAAATATTAAATATCGATTATGAACCCGACAAAGCTCCACTCACTTTGAGATGAAACTTTTGCTACCGCATAACATGGCGCCAATCGGAGCGCCAAGACCCTTGCTCAGGCAAAAGCAAACCGAATCTACGTCCTTAGCCACCCTCTTCGGGGGCACTTGCAGGTAAACGGCAGCGTTCATAATCCTAGCCCCGTCCATATGGACTGCGATGTTGTTTTCCTGCGCGATGTTACCCACTTTCTCCAACCAATCCAACGGCAAAACCTAAAGTATATTTAAATATGAACATGCAGGAGCGCCTTTCTTATAGGCAACTTACTTTACCACCGCACAAGTTGTGAGTGTTTTCAACTACAATGAGAGAAGTAACTGGTTCGTGGAAATCCGGGTTCTTCCTAATTCTTTGCCGCAGTTCGTCGAGATTGAAAGTACCGTCTTCGTTATTCTTCACTAGAGCCGTTTGAACTCCAGCGATTTGGGCGGAGCCACCTAGGAGAAAAATACTAAATGACGTTTTCGAAATGGTCAAGGAGTGTTAGATCTGGTAGTTCAGTAGAACCACTCACCTTGTTCAAAACGGAACGTATGCCCATTGTCGCCAGATATCATTTCGCTGCCCCTTTGGTTGCAATGAACCATTACTGAAAAGTTATTGCAGTTATTTAACATCCTTAACCCGTTACAAAAAATTGGGTTAGATATGTAAAAACATTGTATTTTGCAACAATGTGATTTATACTCGTAAAAAGTAAATAAGAGACAGTAATGGTACAATCTCCTAAAGTAGATAAAATTAAATCACCTTTCACTTTTGATTTTTTTGACATGCTGATTTGAGTTCATGTTCTGATTATTGAAATGTGGCGTGACAATTTTTTATCCTTTTTTTTTATTTGGCTGTAAAACACAAAACAATGTTTTTATATGCTTGTTTTCGATAATTTTTTCAAATCGAATTCTATTCAATGCATGAAACCTTATAAATATATTATATAATGATAAACCTTGACAAATACCAGATGTACTTTCATTCGTGGTATACATTTGCAATAAATCATGGTTCAATAGGAAGAAAAAACATTTAATGACAGCATGATGAAACTTCTTTTAGAATTATATACACGATTAACGATAATAACACAGGAGTGTTAACAATTTATCTTAATTATACCGAGCCTTAATCTACTTTCAACATAATTTCCTATTACAGGCAGCAGATGGATATGTTTTATATGCTCACTTCTGATTGTTGGTCTTCATTAAAGAAGGATGCTTTCTAAATTGATTGATTGTACAACACCTTTCAATTTCATTCAAAGATAAGTTTTAATCTAGTGTTTACCATTATTTCTTTCACAAAATGAAATTTCGGGGGGATAAAAAATAGTTTGCCTTTGTACTAATAAAAACAAATAAATTAATATAAGTAATAACGTATTTTAAAATTGAAATATTTTTATAGAAAGGTAAACAAATTATTTTGTTACAGAATATTCATTTAGGCTTAAATCATGGATTCATATTTTCAGAAAATTATGTTCCTCCACCATATATGTTATTATTAAACATTTATTTATTTGCAACGATAATATCTATGATTTTATCAGGTGTGTGACGAACAAGGTGACGAATTTGCCTTGACAAAAATCTATATTTACATGTTAGATAACGCAAGTTTTCTGTAATTACTTGACAATTTTCATTTAGTTGCTAAGATTTTAGAAAGCCTTAAAAAGGCCTAGAAACAACCTGTCCAAAGCACAATACTTATTTGGAAAGATCTATTACATTACACGGCATTTCTCAAGAGCACTTTCTTTAATACTCCAATATATTTGCACTTAAAATGATTTATTAACCTCTTGAAAATACTATCGATTATTAATTAGGTACACGTTTGAAAACATACAAAAAATATTGAAAAATTAAACATATCTGTTTGTGGAGATTACCGTCAATTTTTAAATGGAAATAGAAAACAAACAAGAATGATGACTTACAATCGTTCTTTTCCTTTGAGATATTCAGTTGCAAAACTTACGATTGCAAAAGCCTGAGGTCACACATTTCCAAACAGTATAAATAAAAAGCTAATCGTACGAAAGAGAATAAAACAAGTTACAAAAGAAGAATCTAATATCAAAACAGCAAACAACATTGTGAAAATATAAACATTTAAAAAAATATCTAGATAATACCAGTGATTTTGGAGTTATCGTAAATTTTATTACTTATTAACACATTTTTTAATACTATCGAAATGGTCATGAATTGATCTGTTTATTGAACTCTGCGGTTGAACCATTAAATTATTGCAATATTCATTCACGTGGTCATATCAAGATTTGATTAAACAGTTCTTCATATAAAACATTACATATTATACATTGAAAATTAAAGATTATTTTCTATACAGCTTGTTTATATTTTTTGTAAAAATAAAATGGTTTTTAAAGTTGTTGAATTAAACGTTTATGGTCCTAAAACTACAAGTTTTTATTATAACAAATTAAATAAAACTCTGAAATTCAAGGTTGAATTAATAGAATTAAGTACAAAAGCACTTATTTAATTTAGGTAACTCTTTACCGAGTCCTTTATTCTATTTTTCAAAGTAGGTACTCATAAAAAGTATTTGTAGAAAAAAAAAACACAAATTATGATATCACGTGTGTTGACTGAAATTTCACCAGATATTACTTTTTTATAATATTTAGAACATTCAAATAATAACAGCATAGGATTATAATACGATTACGTGTATTTGATATTTAAATATCTAATTTTTTACTTTAAGAATAACTTAATTTCATCACTTAACTATTTTATATTTATAAAATACTAATCCTTGCCTTTGTGAACTCATGAATCATGGAAATTATAACAGAAATCAAATGGTACTTTGTTATTGTAAACTCTAATCACATGAACATAAAGAGTAATGAAAACACCTAATATTAGTTACGTTCAAGAAAAAACTAATGAATAGCACTTACTAGCTAGCAAATTAGCCATGGTGCCGCTGACTACAAACGCAGCATCCTCCTTCCCCAGAACCTCAGCTGACCTCCGCTCCAGCTCCACCACCGTAGGGTCTTCCCCGTAGACATCATCCCCTACAACGGCATTATACATAGCCTCCCTCATCTGCTGGGTGGGTTTGCTAATGGTATCGCTGCGGAGGTCCACTATCCGGACATCCCCCTGCATGTCGGCGTTGATGATCTTTTCATACATATTGAATTAACTAGGTAGCTATTATCAACAGAAGTAAGTTGAGAATAAGCGTGGTTTAAATCGCGCGCTTGCTTTTATACGCGCAGGAGTGACAGGTTGTGTAATGAGTATTTTTTTTCTCTTCAATTGTAATTAATTAGACTTGGGATTTTGATTTTGTATAAAACAGTAATGGGGCAATGATTTGGATGATGCTTCTACTTATCTGTGTTTGTATTGGTTATTTCCATATATTCTAATTCTAATTAATTGTTTATTTAAATATGATAATAATAATATTTATCCGACTACGAATACGTAAACTTACATTACACAACTTTCATAAAAAAGGTTACGGTTATGGTCATAGAGAAAGGAATGCGCTATTATCTGGGGTTATGTTATGATTTTGAAAAATGTGTTGTCGTAACCCAGTAAGCTGTCCTTTTGCGAGTAAATTCAATCGGTTCGAAATGTTACATTTTTGTTCTAAAATGGTAACGGAAACGTCACACTCGTCGCCATTGTTTTTAAAAAAACGAAAAAGTGAAAAAGTAGTAAAAGTAGGCTGACTGAGCAGTGAGCTAAAATCATAAATCCACAGAACATCCTAAATCATATAAATTTAATTCGCGTGCATGTACCTAGTGACATCATTTGAGACCAAGACTGATGAAATCATGGCGGATATTGACGTGGAAAGCAAATTTCTCTCGTTTTTCTAATAATCCAGAGCCTACACATCTTCACATCATTTTATTACGCAAAGGTAGCGTTTCTTTCCTGACACAATATTTACGAATTACGGTTATGTTCACGTTTAGATTCTACATATGTAGATAGGTAGTTAAACTGACTTACTAGACATTATTTTTACATGTAAATATGAAAAACGAAAATTACACGTTTTACGTACACTTAAATAGTATGTTTATATACTATACACTGGCACATAGCCATGTACCGTGGTGTGAATATAGTACAGATTTGACGTTTGGTCTGGTCTCAGGTGACGTCATCACAGACAGGATGAAATTCATTCATACCACGGTTGAAATGTATTATTACATTCCTGTTTCAAAAATACTAATTCTTTCATTTTAATACATCGAACGTAGTTTACATGTAAATAAGTCCTATAGGTTGAAATTTAAAATTTACAGAGAGGAATGTAAAAGTAAGACTAGAAAAAACAACCATCCGATGACATTTCGTTTTGAAACTATCTATTCATTTTCGTGATGCAATATACCAATGACGTCACAATAAAGACGGTTCACTCGTCACAAAATAAAAATGTTATAAAAACATTTAAAAATGTTGTAACCATAGATCTTATGTGTACTAAATTTTGCGCCTATTTAAAAACAGCATTGTTTCGTCATGTTTAAACGTTGTTGTTTGTAAATACTTATATTTGCTGAATGGACCATAAAGAGATAATGCCGCGTGAAAGCTGCACTTAGATTGAACGTGAAAAACGAGCGAAAATACTGAGTACTAAAGCAAAGTCCTATAGCGTCGGAATCGGCAATATATTTTACTTGCATCCTGCGACCAAAAGGATATTAAATGCTCCACAGAACTTGAAAAATTGAAGACAATGACACTAAAAATAATTGATTTATTTTATTTGTTCAATAATTGTCATACATTTTATGAAAAAGTAAAAAAAATCACTTAAAAATTAAAAATTGTTTTGACAATAAATATTTTTATAACAAATCCTTTTAAACAATGTAATCTTCATAATATACTATCTGTTAGCCAGTCAAAATAAGAGATTCCACTTCCAAGGCTTATTTATAGTATAAAGCTAGGTGAATAGTTAATACATAGTAAAATACTAAATCTACATAGTTAATATGCTAAATGCAATATCGCCTAACGGTTCCTGGAGACCGATAACTGTAATTTTATATAAAAATATAAAAAGGATTATCGCAATTTTGTAAACAATTTTAAAATAGCTCCGTAATAGTTATGAAAATATTTCAACTGTGCAATAAATGTACCAGCACATGGATTAGTTTTAGAGTACAGATTAAAACTTTATTTGAATAGAAAATTGTTTATTGGTGGTCCCCCCCCCCCAGCCCGCTAACCTTTTTTGTTTCAGAGACAGCCAGGATCAAGAAATTAAGACAATGAAACACACACACACACACATACACACCCCCCATACCCTCCTTACCCCTCCCCTCGCGCGCTAGCCTAAGGGCCACCTTAGCAAAGCGCATCCCAGGCTGCATAGCCGCACTGCCCTACCCAACCATACCACACATAAACATGACACCACCCCCGGGGTTTACACAGACGAGCCGGCGAAGCAAGAAGAGCGCCAGAAGAAAGGGCCCTAGCCGGCGGGGCCCAGCCAGGACAAAAGGAGGTCCCACAAAGCGCCTACACCGGCCGCATTTGCGGTCGGGGTAGACGACGGATGGGGCCCACCTACGAAGGCTGCCCAGGCCTACATGAGATGAGGCAGGATAAAGAGGGATAATCCCTCTCAATCCCAAATCATTGAGGCCAATTTCTAGCCATGGAATAATGGCGAGTATTGGTGGTACACATTGTGTTCAGAGAGAAATTCTGTAAAATTTTTCTTAAAATTTTGATAACAGACCTGTTTTAAAGTTGACAACTGACCCTATTCAACAACTTACTGAGAAGCAGTTCCGAAATGGTAACGATAAAAAAACACCTTATATTATTGATTACAATAAAGCAAAAAGGGCGTTGACGCAAATGATCAAACTAGCATTCATTTCGTACTGCAAAGGGGATTAAAGTGGTACTAACAATATTTGAGTTCTTATTTGGTACGAATATCATAATGTACAGGTTATTTCCAATAAAGCCTCTGTTATACAGGATGTTAGAAGTTTGACTGTCTTAATTTTAACAGACGAAAGAATACATTAAAATAAAAAAAAAAAAACTTATATGACATGGGTCCTAAACTCAACCATTTCCGAGAAAAAAATTAACAAAATCTCTAACTTGATGTACAAAAGTTTGACTAATTAAGGAATACTGACATGACAGCGTGCATAGAATACCATAAAATACGATGTTTATCCCTTTTTTTAACTTCTTTATGCTTAATTCTAAAGAATAATTAGCGTTGTAATAAATTTAAAATTCATATCGAGCAATGTGACAACAGGGCGGCGGTGTATTAACACGAGGTACTAAGGTGTCCAGCAACCACCAATATGCAATTCAGTTAGTATCTGGATTTGACCGTGTCGGAGTGTTTTTTGCATACCACTATTTACTTTTCTTGAGGTGTTTTCCAGCGAGTGCGCGAAAATTAGATTTGAAGGTGTTGTACATGCATCGAAAATGGTGATGGACATTTTGAGGATATGTTGTAGATTGTTTTGTACTTGTGTGTTTAAAAATTACAGAATTTTGCTTTTTGGTTAATACCTAAATTATTTTTAATTTATTTATTTAAAAATTGGAAAACGATTGTCTTGAAATTTACTGAATGTTTCACAATAATAACTGTTTACATTTTTCGTCCCCAATATTATATACTCGCTGTATTTTGAAAACTGTTAATCTTACGCCCCTGTAATATACAGCTTTTTTGTTCATTTATGATTACTCCATCTCATGCTGAAGTAATGGTAGTCAAACGTCTACACCCTGTATAAATTCAAGAAAATGATTACCGATTTACTGGAAATTTCAGCATCTCAGTCGGATAGAAAACAAAGAAGACCAAAGGGAATGTAACACATGTTTCATCAAACCAACAGGATCAGGAAAGAAATCAGCATTAAAGATGTTATAAAGAGTTTCGAAAAACCCTTACTAGTCTTTACGACTAATAAGGTCACAAAGAATATAACGATGACCTAGGAACACCCAAGTTATACCTTCAGTGCTCCAATAAAATTCATAAAATGGTTCACTAATTATACAACGCCACAAAAAGAACAAAGTGGTCTGGAACCTTGAGGCCTACTTGATTAGTCAGTGATTAGAAAAACATTTGAATCAATGATAGCATTGCTTCATAACCCCACAACCCTCTAAGCTATAACCCATAACGTGTTATTTGAACAAGCTTTATCGCAAAAACTCACGATCACTATACAATCAAGGAACTACATTACGTTGTTTCACATAAAGAAAAATGCCCAGGATGACTGTAACCCAAACTTGTATGTCCCAGGTCATGAGTGTACAGGAGCTTGCATGCCCCGAGTTAAGGAATTATGGAGTTACGACAGGACTACAGACCCAATTTTTCAGTTTTTTTGGTTAAGAACCCCACACATACCCCGAGTTATGGGGTTACGGGGTTATGGAATCCTGCCAACTTAAGTCATGTAGTTTCAGACCCCTGTTGTATGAAACCTCCATGTTGCCAGTTTCCTGGTTCTACACCCTCACACATCCGGATGTGTGAGGGTGTGTCTTTTTTGTGACCCCGAAACCCCGTAATGTCATAACCTCGGGGTTATGACATTACGGGGTTATGGGGTCACAAAAAAGAAGATATTAAAAATGGAAATATACTCAAGAATTTTGGTCAGTAGATCTTGGTAAACCACCATCCCTCTTTCATCCCATCCAAGGTGCTAAATTCAAGACAACATACCGGTTGTGCAATGCACCACCGTTGCTCCGGAAGGAAAAAAGTTTAATCCTTTATTGTACTATCTGTCCACTAACTCCTCAAACTCAGCAAAGACGAAAAGCATAAACACGAAGAATAAAATAAAATGGACGAAATCAGAAACAGAATCGATATCGCTTTCTGATCACTAACGACTTAGTTTGAAATCTCAAAAGCCAGTTCCTAGAGGAGTTTTGTGATTAGGGTCAAAATTTGAACCGATCTGGGGATTTTGACTTTAGATTCGGCTTTAGTGGGTGCAAAACACTGTCGTATATACTGGTCTCGTTTAAATCCCGTAACACTTTTTTTTTGTGTTGCAACGTTTAAATCCTCTTGTACATAAAAAACGTTTCACATTTAAAATAGGTATTTCATTTTTTATCCCCAAAATATCCCGAACTTACCGAAAAGGTATTTTGACCAATTCTCGGTATCACCATCAAAAAAGCAGAAAACATTTTTTTTTACACTACATCCAATTCAATTCATTTTTATAACGAAGCACAGGAATCATGCCATTTTTTTAAGGGATGATGAGGGAAGGGGACATAGCAAACTTTCACGACACAAAAAAACTAAATTAGAGGTTGTCGACCCCAAGATCTCGAAGATGGTTGCATATATAGGGTATAGCAAAAGTACCGGAACGGCAGAATAACTCGGCGGGAGAGCATTTTAGAGAACAATGTTAAATACAATAGTTTCAGGATTGGCTATCCGATGGTGACCTTGACATTGACCTTGAAGATTATTTCAAGGTCAAATGTGATTTTTCAAATGGGACCCTATACTTTTGACCCCAGATATGAAAATAGCGAAAAACTACGTTCAGATATGACCTTTTGACCTTGGGGCCCCCACAAGATCAAACTAACAAAAGTACAGGAACGGCAGAATAACTCGGCAGGCGAGCATTTTACAGAAAAATGTTAAATACACATGATTCAGGATTGGATATCCGATGGTGACCTTGACGATCATTTCAAGGTCAAATGTGATTTTTCAAATGGGACCCTATACTTTTAACCCCAGATATGAAAAGAGCAGAAAACTTTATGTTCAGATATGACCTTGAGTGACCCCAGCCTTTTGACCTGGGGGCCCCCACAAGATCAGACTAACAAAAGTAGAGGAACGTCAGAATAACTCGGCAGGAGAGCATTTTAGAGAAAAATGTTAAATACAACAGGATTTCTCCCTGGATGGTGACCTTGACGATCATTTCAAGGTCAAGTTGATCTTGAAGATCATTTCAAGGTCAACATTTTTCTCTAAAATGCTCTCCCGCCAGTTATTCTGCCGTTCCTGTACTTTTGTTAATAGTTTGACCTTGTGAGGGCCCCAAGGTCAAAAGGGAGGGGTCACTCAAGGTCAAATCTGAACGTAAAATTTTCCACTCTTCATTTCTGGGATCAAAAGTATAGGGTTCCAAAATTATGTTATGAAGTTTGAGAAATGAAATATTAGTATTAAATTCAAATTTATTGCTAAGAAAATTTAATTTTCTAAAAAATAAAATATGTTCATCAGATGATCGTGAAAAAAATATATTCCATATATACGTGCAACCCTTTTCGAAATCTCACAGTTTGCTACGTTTATTTTAATTTTTTCAATCACTTTCGTTCGTTATAAAAGTTTTCGTTATAAAAATTCGTGCTTCATTATCAAAATATGGGGACTGATACCGCATTCGGTGTCTATTTAATGGCTATTTAGAATCACCATCACCTAAATAAAATTTATTATGCAACTTAAACTACGCTAGATTAATCATAAAAATCGTTAAAAATCTTCGCCTAATTGTGACGATTAATAAACTATTACCTATCAAAACGAAGAAATCCGAAAAATTACAAGTTTTGAAACGTTCCAAAACCATCAAGCTTTCCTCGTAACAAAATTTTCTTGACGCTGCTCCCCCGTTTAGGCGTAATACTATCAAGAAGATCCGAATTCGTTCATCCACTTCTCGTACTTGTCCAGATCCTCCTTACTCACGCTCTTATTATTCTTGACGAGGGCCTCCTCAAAGTCCCGCATCGTAACGGGAAGATCCAGCTCCTCCTTCGGCAACTGCTTGATCTGATCCGGTCGTAACCCGCAAATTTTTCTCCTCATAGACATCATCGAGGCATCTCGACACACGTTTGTTATGTCCGCGCCCGAAAAACCGTCCAGCTTCCTGGCGATCGTCATGAGATTGATATCGGGGTCCAGCTTGACCTCGCGTAGGTTGATTTTCAACAGGGCTTCTCTTCCTTCCCGCGTCGGCAGGGGGATGTATATACGTTTCTCGAGACGGCGCCGTAGAGCCTCATCGATGTCCCAAGGAAAATTGGTAGCGGCTAAAACCATGACCACCTTGCCCGGTTCGTCATTGTTAGCGGTGATGCCGTCCATCTGGACGAGTAACTCGGATTTAACGCGACGGGAGGCCTCGTGTTCGGACTCGGAGCCTCTGCGTGAACATAGAGAGTCGATTTCGTCAATGAATATCGTGCTGGGGGCATAAAATCGAGCCTAAAAGACACAACGTTTACGTCACACACAAAAATTTAATAAAGTGTTGTACAAACCATTTCAAACAGCAGTCGGACCATTTTCTCGGATTCTCCACGATATTTCGATGTTAACGTGGATGAGGATACGTTAAAGAACGTCGTGCCGCATTCCGTAGCAACAGCTTTTGCCAGCATGGTTTTGCCCGTACCTGGAGGACCCACCATTAGAACACCTTTCCAGGGTCTCCTAATTCCTATACAATTAAAAAAAAATAGGTGTACTTAGAATGGCTCCAAGTCAAACAGCACGAGCAAAAAATAAAGATTCAAAGTCTATCGAATCTTATCCTTACCTGTAAAGAATTCCGGCATCCACATTGGCAGCACAACAGCCTCCTCCAGCAACCTCTTGGCCTCGTGTAGGTCAGCAATATCATCCCAATGTATGTTCGGATTCTTCTGTACAATATCTCTTTCTAAAGTATCGGCTAATTCTCTCTCCATTCCGTGGCATTCGAACTTTTTCTCTTCTTCCGATTCACCCTTCTCGCTTTTTTCCGTGTTTTCGGGATCTTTCTCAGCCTTGCTGCTTTCTGTAACTCGTTCAGATCTGGCAGACGAAGGCCTTTCCTCTTTCTTGGCAGATCTGCCCAATTTAGGATCTTCAGACCGCCTTGCCGTACTTACTCTAGATGAAGTTGAACCCTTTTTAGCTTCTGGTTTTTTAACATTTGACTGTCTCGACTTAGGACCGTTACTTCTACAAAAAAATCCAAAAAATTAATATATTTGTTTGATAAAGTAATATGAAAAATATCGTTACCGGACATTAAATCTATGGTCTACTGGAGTGGGTGGAGGCCAAACGTCAGGATCATTTTGTGCAAACTGAGTAGGAGACATAATGTTTCCGAAGTTGGCTATGGGATCGTCCCTTTTTCGAATTCCAAGGGGAACTTCCACACTCGTTTCCACCCTCAACGTTTGTAGCATAGTTTTTAATATCTTCACTCCGTCATATTCGCTACTGACTATTTTTTGCACCTACAACGAAAACATAAATAAAATGAAACCCTTCTTACGTTGGATCATACCTGTTGCCATTTATTTTTTCGAGTGGGGTCCGGAATTGCTGTTATTAACCTCGAGATCATTTGTAAAGAACCCTCATAGTATACTTCGGCACTCTCATAGTTGCCTAACACAGACATCTCTCTAGCTAATTTGATATTGTCACAAATTTCATTCGCAGTCACGGCCATGGTGCTTCAAATTGGAAAAAAGATCGATTTTGAAAAAACAAAAAAAATAAAGGTCAAGGAACTGAAGAAAACTACAAGGGTGAATCAAATAAAACACCAGAAATTAACAACTGCTACACCATTCACAAAACATCAATTTTGTTATTACAAATTAAAGGAGTATTTATAATTATTTACGTATAAAGTCATAAAACAGTTATCATTTGTAATTATTGTAACATAACTGATTTGACATTTGAGCGCACAGTGTCACACCAAAGACTATGAAAAAAGAAGATCAATATGTAATAACAACAAAGCTGGAGCGTTTAAACCTATTGAATAAAATAGTAAACAACAGATGGCGCTATATGCTTTTTTAGAATGAAGTCCCTGGGTTGACCAAGCAGTGCTAGTGCTTGGTAATATTATATTATTACTGCCATTGTTTTTGCTGCTGCTGGTGTTGTTGTTGTTATTATTGTAGATCAATAGCGTTTATACAAGCACCCCAATAAAATGTTCTTGTTCGCCCCAAAATGACAATCTGCACTATTTTTTATGTCAATTGCACTATTTTTTATGTATTGCTTAATAAATTGTTAAAAACAAATGAAAATTAATAAAATTACAATATAAAATGTATTGAAAATTCAAACCTTTATTTTAAGGTTGGCTATAAGGATTTTAAATCCAAAACGGATGAAATGAAAACGGACTAATTTACAATATGGGATTTATAATGTTTATATGTATATCGGATGCACTTTATCGCGTAGATCATAACTTCATTTGGGACTAAATTAAAAAATATAGGATCAAAATGTTAGTCACCTTTAAATTTCATTGGACATGCAACTACGCACTAAATCTCAGCATTAAATCAGTCAGAGGTCACGTGGTATTACGTTGATGAAGATAATAATCTTTCACATTTGCTTAAAGTACGTCAATAACATCAAAGTGGTGACACTTGTTTAAACAATTTCTGAACATGCCACTTGTTGCGTCGTTGAGTCCACGGCGATTATCATATCATACATTGTTCTGTCAGTTATTTTTAACATATAGGTATGGGTATAAAAAAATTGTCTGAAATTAATCAAGGCATTGTATTTAGTAGTTGTTTTTGTGAATTATACATCATATTCATATCTTTTGAAAACATAATGAAAAGAGGTACTTTGAAGGTGTTGACAAAATGTTCTAGCAAATATTTATAATCATTTTTATTAGTTGTTTATATAATAAATATTTTTTTTCTTCTACACATTGTCCCCGACAAGGTGACATAGTTATGGTCTTTAATGGTAGGTACTTTCCTTGAGCCGCCTTTTTTTCTGTATTCTTAAACAGCTACGGTATTGCGAACTGTAACAAGACGATATTTACATTTCAACAATTAGGAACACTTCTTAACTGCGTGCTTACCCGTTTGTTTAATAACCGTCCCAAAGACGATTACCAGAATTATGAATTCTAAGAGAAATAACCTCCAAAAACCCAACAACTCCATCAAGTTATGCGTCTCCATAACTCTTAAGTACCTACTAAAAGCCGAGCTTAAAATCTAAAACATCATTCAAATAATTGCAATTCATGGTATTCCTTCCAAATCATCACATTGGTGTCGTGGAGAGGGAAATATACGCGGTAACGCATCGACATCGACCTTTAATCTTACAAAAAGATATCAAAAGATGACTGAATTTTTTTATACTAATTTTTTTTCGTCGTTATCTCTATTTTCACTCCGGATTATTATTTCTTTATATATTTTATTCGTCACTAAAAAGATATATGTATTATATACTTTGTAAATGTTTGTAACTCTATAATAGGAAAAATGTAAAAATATTTAAAAATATGTAACTCAGTTTCTTGCGGAAGTAGGTAGGTACATCAAGTACAATTTGTCTACGCAACAATCGAACTAACTAATTGAAGGAAGAGATTTGTAAGATTCCAGAAATATAAAAAAGTATTTTGTGAAAAGTGTGGATAGGTGGCGCTAACCATCACATAAATTATTATTTTTTATTTTTGGTTGGCTATTGCTATTTTCAAAAAAAAAGGAAAAACATTAATGCAAAGGTAACTGTTTTAAATTTATCAAGTGAAGTGTAGAAATACTTTTTTAAATATCATGTTTTTGAGTAATTTACATTTAATGAATTGGAGGTACGTATTTTTTTCATTTTTATTTATTTGAGGTTTTATAATTATAATCTTACTTAATGCTCAACTCTTCTCAATATTGAGAATAACTGATTCAGATTAGTTGAGGGTAAATAGAATACGGTTAATACATAAATGTAAGGAACAATTAAAAAACCATTGGTTCGAAAGGCAGAGGAGTTAGTTTTATTTTTTTCGTTACATTTTATATAAAAAAAATTTTTATTCCTTGTAGTTATAAAAATTTGCCTCTGTAATAATATTTATATTCGTTTCCATAATTAACATTTTACTCCTAATAAATATGTAGGTATCTCAAAATTTATAATTCATCAATTACGTGACTTGATTTTTTAATCGCTCTTAATCTTAGAAGACGACAATATAAATTTTTTATTTCACCGTTTTCACTTCAGATAATGACTCCAGGCAATAATACAGAGATAACTGCTTTGATTAAACTTATTAAGAGTAGAAATATTTTTTTTCAATTTAATATGTACCTAAATATTGTTTATTTTTAAATTTTTATGCCAATACGAGATTAAAAAAGTATTTTGTGCGCAACAAAGAAGGGTTAACGTTTTACTTTTTCTCTTTCCATTTTACGGATTTTAAATTAAAAGAAACGGATTTAAAAAGAAAACATTTTATTCCTTTTAGTTATAAAGAAATGCTGTCAATAGTATAAAAACTTACCTCTATAATATTTATATTCGTTTCCATAATTAACATTTTAACTTCTAATAAATATATACATCTAATATTTATAATTCATTGATTACGTGACTCTAGGTGTATAATCACATATTATTTTTATACAGAAAGTTAAAGCAGATTTCACAGAGATGAGATATGAAAAATCATTAAACTTGAAACTTATAAGTAAAATACAATTTCTGACATTAAAAGTGAAGCAAAACAATTTTTGATAATCTAACTTGAATCATTTTTTAACGTGACCACCGAGTGATGGCGTTTTTTGGAAATTTCTTAATTTCTCGCCTCAAAGTTAAATCGTTGCATAAAAAAATATAAATTGCTCGTTCATCACTTGTAACGTCAAAAATTGTATGTTGCACCAGTGTGGTAAAAATATTTTGATAACAATTACTTATAGTGTACTAACGAAGTAGGCACATATATCTCAGAGACATAACCTCACTTTTCATGAAAAAAAGTTCTGTTTGTTGCATATTTTGACAAGAATAAAAAGCGACAAAATTTTTTTTAAATAAAGTTAAAATTACTAAGATTTATACAGGGTGTCCTGAACTGTAGGTGTACAGGCCATCAACATAAAAGATAAAAACCAAATAAAGTTTTTTTATGAAATAGATTATTAGAACCTGCTTAGCAGGATTTATGTAAGTGCCATTTTGAAAAAAATTGGGTGACAATTTCTTTGTTTATTATTCTACACCCTTTGGCTTGACTTATACTTTTTTTTTTAGTATGGATTAATTTTTCAGTAAAACAAAATAACAAAATATTCAAATACTCAAATATTCAAAATATAAAAATGAACAGATCTTTACATAAATCGGTATGGGATGTATTTTGAATGGTGTAGAATTAGATTTCTCACAGAAAAATTGCTGATTTTTCAAAAATTAGGGCAACTACAAAAAAATCGTAGAATATCTACGCAATTTTGAGAAAGTTAATTTTCTGAATATGTACATTCCTTGAGTCTGTTAATGACCTGTACAGACTGAAAATATATCTTGGGAACTTCGTTTTTCATGAAAACAGCTGAAAATAATTATATTCGGAAAATGGTGTTGTAATATCAATCGACTGTCGCACAAATGTCAAGACAAAAAGATATTAGTTACATAGTGGTTTAAAAGATCTTTCCAGCAGGATCAGGATATGTCTGAGAAAAAATAATAAAATAAAATAACTTAGGAGTACGACTGAGTGGTGGAAATATACTGGGTGTCACGTAAAAGATTAACATTAATGGCTCTCACTATATTATAGATTGGTATTTGCTATAATTTTGTTTCCAATGCCGGTCTTAATGACAGTCAATTGCAATTTTTCTTTTGTTTTTAATGAAAAGATATCTTTTAATAATTTATCTGGTAGAAATTTTTTTTCCGAATTCAACGATATGTGGCAATTTGATTTTAGCTTCAATTCTTGTGGAAAATTTATGGAAAAAAAATGTGCCATGAAGACAAATAAATCACCAAAAGTTTAATGTTATATGTGGTACAAACATATTATTACCAAGTTATAGCATATACAGTGTGTCACACTTAAATGTGATACAATCCTGTAACTTCTTTATTTTTTTGTCGATTTCAAAAATTTTTATTTTGGAATGTGGGCTAAAAAAACTCTATCTAACTGTAATATTGCTGTTCTTATTAATGCAATTCATGGCCAACTAGGACGTGTTTTCTTGACATCAAAACAGTTAATTGGTATTTGCGATTTTTTTTCCAAAAAACCCACCAAGTTTCATCAAATTTGATACATCTTCAAGCGAGTACTCCATGATGTCACGAAAGTAATACAAGTCTGTAAGTTCTTTATTTTTTGACTGATTTCAAACATTTTTTTTTATAGAATGTAGGGTAAAAAAAAAACGATCTAACCGTGATACCGGTGTATTTTATAAATGCAATAAACGGCCAACTAGTGCTCGCCTGAGGATATATTGAATTTGATGAAACTTGGTGAAAAGACATTTTAAGAGATGCTGAACGAGAATACGTAATCTGTTTTTTAGAAAAAAAACCGCTAACACCAATTAGCTGTTTTGACGTCAAATAAAGCGCGTCCTAGTTGGCCATGAATTGCATTAATAAAAACATAAGTATTACAGTTAGAGTTTTTTTATCTTACATTCTAAAAAAAAATTTTTGAAATCGGTCAAAAAACAAAGAAGCTACAGGCTTGTATTACATTTAAGCGCCGACACCCTGTATATATTTCTGTCTTTAACTATCTTCGTAAAATTTGATATTATAAATAAAAAAAAATAATTATAATTATTCCGATGCATCGGAAAATCAAGTTATCATACAGCGTGTGAAGTTATCATACAGCCTGTATGGAGTTGAAAAGAAGGAAAACTATTTTAGTTTTCATTTTATGAAAATGATTCTTGTTAAAAAAATTCAGTAATCAAAAATATAAAAATATAGTTTTAAGTGATTTAACAGTATGTCCACAAAGAAATAATAAAAAAATAATGGTTGATTTTGAGTGGCAATTCGTGAAAATTAAAGTGTTTATACTTTGATAATGAAGTATGGAACCCATACCATTTTTTAGGGAATATGATTTTACAAAGAGAACTTTCGTAACGAAAACATTTCGAATGGAATTTGCAAAATAAAAAATAAAAATAGAAGTTGCCCACCCTGAGATCTGGAAAAGTGTTGCACATATTGGTACAAAATATTTTATTTCATAATCAACTAAATAGTAGACGAAATTCAATTTTCTTTGTAGTTATATTTATTTAAATTTTCATTTGATACTAACAATCTATTTTTCAAACTTCATAATGCCGTTAACTTTGTGAAAAATTTAAAAAAGTAGTATATTTGTACCTATCACTTGATTACGAAAAAAAATATTTTGCAACTACTTGTGCAACCCTTATCGAGATCTGCCACTGTTGATTTGAATTTATGTTTATAACATAATAATACACATGTCAGTTAAGAATAAACCTATAAATAATCAATCCTTTAGGACATTTAATATTTAATATGTATATGTTCTTAGATAATCTTAACCGTAGATGTCGACAATAGAAAAAGGGTTAAGTTGATATTTTGGAATTTTGAAAAATGATTGCATAATTAAAAAGTAATTTGTAACATATTTCCATTTCTGAAAAATTAAGTAGGCTTTGTAAGGAGAACAAAATGTTTTCTGTGTACATAAAATGCCTTTTTCGTACAAAATATCAAAAAGTTTCATAAATGAAGAACTAAAGAGAATCGGTCCCTATTGAAATTTTTTGATTTAACAAATTATTGATTTTTAAAATCACACTGGACCGACACCAAATTTGGTATTTTAACATTAAATTTTAATTGTAATAACATTACTTCCTGATTTCTTACACAAAAAGGGCACTTTACCCTCAGGAGATGGAGGAATTTAAAAAAAATCAAAGTAGACCTATTACTTCCAAATTTGGAACATAGGATTAAAGAGTGACCGCAAAAAACACCTGTGATCTTCGCCCGTTTTTTCACAATTTGCAGAGAATTAAAAAAAAATACATAAAAATATGTTATTGGTCGCAAATTACTTGTCGTAAAAAACTGGTATGAGCACAGCTTTTAGTATTTTGAAAATTTTAGAGGTTGAAAAAATGCCAAAAATTAAGAATTTGAATATTACCAATTGATATAAAAACTACACAGTAGCATGTAAATTATCTCAACATATTTTTTTTTGGTATTTTTACAATTAGTTCTGATATTCTCTATTTTTGGGGATAATTCCACCCCCTGAGCGCGCTTAAGGGTGGATTTTCTAATTCAACACGCTTATTTCAGTCATGAGAATAAATCTTTCTTTGTATTAAGAATCATTCGATAGAAAAATTCACATGCTAATAGTTTTTATACTTATTGGTAACATTCAATTCTTCATTTTGGGCGTCTTTTCAACCCCTATATAGGGGTGATTTTTGAAAATTTTCAAAAAACTAAAAGCTATGCTCATCTTAATTTTTTATGAGTAATGTGAGAGTAAAAACATAGTTTTATCTATTTTCTTTAGTTCTTTGCGAATTGTGAAAAAATGGGCGATTTTTGCGGTCACTCTTTGAGTTCGTAATTTTTCTCATAATTTTTTTTTATATCTTATGTGAGAGGCACTTTACACTTTACTTACATATAAATTATTCTTTTTTACTGTAACAAAACCTATTTAATTTTTCAGAAATAATACGTTACAGATTATTTTATAATTAAATAGAATTAATTCCAAAAAAAAATTTCCCAAAATAAATATCAAATTACCATTTAAATTTTTTTATGTAATCGACACCAATGGTTGACCATCTTGAGACGCCCTGTACATATTAAATATTGGAAAAAGGCTGACACGAGTTCCTCAGCTGGCATAGTGCTTTATCTTTGTTATAAAGTTAAAATCGACTACTATATTTCTATGGTTTCTTTGTAGAGAACACCCTGTATAAGTTGGTTCACTTTGAGTTACGTACAAAAAATCTGCTTGTGCTCAATTGTATAGATTATTTTTTTTTAAAAAGAATTAAATTTTTCATAAAATGAAAAATGTTTTTCAGTTTTACAACTACATTCGTGGACACGCTGTATTCTTGGGTTCAACAAAAAAATTCTGTATCGGATTAAATACAAAAATATATATCATCTCATTTAAAAAGGTGACTGAGGTAGGTCCAGAAAAAAATTACAGTAAGTGTTAGTTTGTAGTATTTTTGAAACCATTAATGCCGATCTTTTCAAACATTTTCTTTTTATCCTACATTTGAGGGAAATATACGTTTTCAAGAAAAACGTATGTCTTGAAATATACATGATATAACAGTTTTTATATTGATATTCCCAGGAGCAGATAGGAGTTAAAAGAAATTAACTTTTTTTTTATATCGAAAATCGAAGCGTTTCCAAGATACAGGGTGTTAAATTTGCACTTCGAAAAAAATATTTTTTCAACGATTTTAAAAACTTCTTACAATTAGTTACGTAGTATTTATTCCTGTAACATATTAGAGTATGTAAGAAAATGACACACAGGGTGTTACTTTTTTGGGATCCGCCCCCATGATTACCCAGTAACATTTTTTGAACGTACCCCTGTAGTTATTTAATTAACGTTAGACAATACAAAAATTACTTTGAGATTTTTGTTTTTTTGTAAAATTTGGTATGTACCAGGGATTTGAAGTGATACAGAAAAATCTTCAATGCTTATTTTACTGAAATACAGGGTGTTCGAAGGATTTTGTTTCGTCATGTACAGGATTCCACAAAAATACGAAAATTAGAAAAGAAAAAAAAAGAAATTAAAAAAAAATAAGGAAATTTATACAGGATGTCACGCTTAAATGTGATACAAGCCGTAGCTTCTTTGTTTTTTGACCGATTTCAAAATTCCTTTTTTCAGAATGTAGGATGAAAAAAACTATCTAATTGTAATGCTGCTCTTTTTATTAATGTAATTCACGGCAAATAGGACGCGTTTTTTTTACGTCAAAACAGCTAATTGGTATTAGGGATTTTTTTTCAAAAAACATTACGTATTCTCATTCAGAATCCCTTAAAATGTCTTATCACCAAGTTTCATCAAATTCGATACATCTTCAGACGAGCACTAGTTGGCAGTGTATTGCATTAATAAAAAACAGCAGTATCACAGTCAGATAAGAGTTTTTTTACCCTACAATTAATTAAAAAAAATTTTGAAATATCGGCCAAAAAATAAAGAAGTTACAAACTTGTATCATATTTAAGCACGACACCCTGTATATACTTTTCTAAATGCTTTCCAAGGGTACTGCGATGGTTTCAAACGTATAAAAACTCATCTTTGAACAATTTTTTAAACAGACAAGATCACTTTAGGATTCATGTTCATGTATACCTTTTTTCTTATTTTTATGCCAAAAATACTCCTCCAAATGTAAAATGAAATTCTCGAATAAAATTAATTTTCTATTGATGAAAGTAAACTGGCAACGTACTTATAAAAATGTAAACGGGTGGTAAAAGGTGGTGGGGTTCCCCAAAAAATAACACCCTGTGTGTCAATTTCTTACACATTCTAATAATTTTATTACACTCAAATAAATAAATACATACGTTAATTAAGAATTCTCCGGCTCAAACCGTTTTAAATTATTTGTAAAATGCTTTTTCGTTGTGGAATTTGAACACCCTGTATCTCGAAAACGGATAAGTTTTCGACATATGTTTATCTTTTCATTTGCTCCTGAAGTTAGCAAGATAGAAACTGTTGCACCTTGTATATATTCTCGTATATATAGTTTATTGGAATCTCTAGCTTCAAAAACGGTGTCTTTTATTTTTAACCACACTGTATATTGTTCCACTTAAAAAATAATTGACAATCGCCTGCTATGAAGAGGGCTCTATAGCAAATAGCCAACCAGCGATACATTTTTATAGATTTCATTCCACAGCTCATCTAAATATGAATTAATGCACAAATAACAGACTTTCCTCCATTCTAACGCAGATTTTATATAAAATGGAGTTAGTTTGAAACTTGAATAACTTTTTGGTGGGAAGAAATTTATAATTTGCATCGTAAATTACAAATTTCTTCGCAATAAAAACTAATTTGAGTTTCAAACTAACTCCATTTTATAGAAAATCTGCGTTAGAATGGGGGAAAGTATGTTATTTGTACATTAATTCATATTTAAACAAACTGTGTAATAAAATCTATAAAAATGTATTGCTGGTTGCCTATTTGTTATAAACCCCTCTTAAAGTAGGCCTAGCAAAAAAATTTCAGTAAATGTCAGTTTGTAGTGTTATTGGAGTCGTTAACGTCCATCTTTTTTTTAATGTGATCGAAAATGCTAGAGGTACATCTCGCAGCGTTTTTTATGAACACCCAGTATATAAAAAAAAATTTTACACGACATTTGAGCGATAGCCACTGAAAATGTAACACCATTTTCAGAATTTTATTACTTTCAGCGTTTTCCAAAAGAAACACGTCTCCCAAGATACATCGACAACCCTGTACGCCTCTAAATCGTGACATCCTGTATGTCGATCGAGAAATTGAGGTTATGTTAACAATAATCGGGACAACCCGTCCGCAAGAATTCCGTATTCTTCGATGCAATTAAAAAAATATTCAATAATCATAAAAAAAAATACCCAAAACCTGCTACGCTAAATTTAAATAATTATTTTTGTACATAGAAGTAAAAAATATGATAGTAAAGCATAAATTAAATAAAAATAGGGGTTGTCATATCTTGGGCTCTTGTTTTTCTTCACGTTCCGCCAAACTCAAAAAAGACACTTTTGGTCCACTTTATTTAAGAAAAACGATTACAATTCCGAAGAATTTTCGAGCTCGGTAGTAACATGAAGGGCATGGCCGACATCTAGAACCCACCCGACCGGACATATTCGATGCCCTCGGCCTTTATCAATATTGCAAAATAATACTGATGGAACAAAAAAAATTAACTCGCGAATACGTCCGGCCAGCGGCGAACCTCAACCGCATCCGCGGGCAATAAATATGAAAAATGTTTAGCTATTATGTACACAGAACCATATCCCGGAGGCCTAACAAACTTAACGACCTTTGTTTTTGTCTTTTTGAATAGACAGGTCCGAAGGACCAAAACTGTTTTAGAGTCCGAGCCTTGAAGAAACTTAATTGGGTAGTATGGACAAACCCTCGGAGGCTGTTGGCAAGACGACGGTGCTGACTGGGTTTTCGCTTTCCTCCTCGTTGTGCGGAGAGACCTGTATGTGGTGCTGCGGCACCTGGATCTGGACTGGGATCTGGATCTGGGAGTTTGGCACCTGGAACAAAGGTAAGAAGAGATAAACATCGCAGTTCCGAGCTATTTGTGTACAGATATACAGTTAAAACACACACACAGGAGAAAAGTTCGTATTCTTTGGCAAATATTTAACATAATATATTTACCAGAATAATTTATCTGTCTGTATCCACAAATAATTAGCTTTTGAATGAATTCTTCAGCAAATGTAAATATTCACAGATGAATACTTATAAATAATTCACAAATATTCCTCTACACAAATAGAAATCTGAAACCTAAATATTCAGTCTAACTCGGTTTGTAAATATTCATACATGAATACTTGAGAATATTCGTAAAATTTACGAATATTTGCCTACACAAACGTAGAATGGAAATCAAATAATCCAAAGATTCAGTTTAGTTCTCTTCACACATAATCATTTCTCTAAATATTTTGGATGATATCTAAGGACAGACTGCATTATCAAATATTCATACATGAATGTTCATTATAATTATATTCATAGAATTAATGAATATTCCTCTACGTGTAGAATAAAAATGAAACACCCAGATATTCGGTCTATGATGATATGTAAAAACAGCAAATATACATATGCCAATGTCCATTAGTGCATATTTATAGAATTTACAAATATTTGTCTACATACTTGTACAATGGAAAACAAAGAATCCAAATATTCAGTCTACCTCTGTTCACAAATAATCAACTTTCAAAAGATATTATGCTATATGCAAAGACAGTGTGCTTTAACAAACATTCATACGTGAATGTTCTCTGGCGAATATTCGTATAATTAATGAATATTCATCTACATAAATGAGAATTAGAAATTTGAATATTCAGTCTAACTTTACAAATGCTCATTTCTCTCAACATTTTAGATTATGTGTAAGAATATACATATTCATACATATATGTTTACTAAAAAATATTCATAAAATTTATGAATATTTGTCCACACAAATGTAGGATGGAAATCAAAGGACCAAAATATTCCATTTGTCTCTGCAGACAGTTATTTTTCAAAAGATGACATTTTAAGTGATATCTAGGGGCAAACTGCTTTAGTAAATATTCTTACATGAATGTTCACATCAAATATTCATAGAATTAATGAATATTTTTCTATACACAAGTTTAAAAGTGTTTGTTTACTTAAATTATAGAATAGAAATCAAAGGACCATAATATTCGGTCTAACTCTACAAATAATAAAATCTTTCCAGATTTAGAATGATCTGGAGGTACAGACTGCTCTAGCAAATATTCATACATGAACTCTACCGAATATTCGCAGACTTATGAACATATTCTATATAGTAGTTCACAGATAATAATTTCTCTGAAGATTTAGGTTATATCTTAAGACAGAATACTTCGTAGAATTTACGAATATTTGTCAACACAAACATAGAATAGAAATCAAATGACCCAAATATTCGGTTTAGGTTTGTTCACAATCATTTCTCTAAAGATATCTAACATAGTGCATTATCAAATATCAAACATGAATCTTCATTATATTAATATTCATAGAATTAATGAATATTCGTCTACACAAGTGTAGAATAAAATTCAAAGACCCAAATATTGGGTTGTATGATGATATGTAAGAACAGCAAATATTCATAAACCAATGTCCCCTAGTACATATTCATAGAATTTACAAATATTTGTCTGCATACTTGTACAATGGAAATCAAAGAATGTAAATATTCAGTCTACTCTGTTCACAAATTTTTAAAAGATAAGAATGATATTATGTTATATGTAAGGCAGTCGGGGCTTTAGTAAATATTCATACATGAATGGCGAATATTATAATTAATGAATATTCATCTACATAGGTGGAGAAATAAAGATTAGAAATTTGAATATTCAGTCTAACTTTACAAATGCTTATTTCTTTTAACATTTTAGGTGATATATAAGGACATACTGCTTTAGCAAAGTATTCATACATAAATGTTGACAAGCGAATATTCGTATAATTAATGAATATACATCTACATAAGTGGAGAAATGAAATTTAAAAATTTGAATATTAGGTTTAACATTACAAATGCTCATTTCTCTCAACATTTTAGATGATGTGTAAGGACATACTGCTTCAATAAGTATTCATACATGAATAACAACTAACAAATATCCATAAAATTCACGAATATTTGTCCACACAAGAATAGGATGAAAATCAAAGGACCAAAATACTCAATTAGTCTCTATTCGCAGACAATTATTTTTCTATAGATGACATTTTAAGTAATATCTAGGGGTAGACTACTTTAGTAAATATTCTTACAATCACTGGCGAATATTCGTATAATTAATGAATATTCATCTACGTAAGTGGAGAAATTAATATTCCGTCTAATTTTACAAATTTTCATTTCTCTCAACATTTTATATGATATGTAAGGACATGCTGCTTTATTTATACATGAATGTTTACTAACACATATTCATAAAATTCACGAATATTTATCCACACAAGGATGGAAATCAAAGGACCAAAATATTCAAATTGTCTCTGTTCGCAGACTATTATTTTTCTAAAGATGAGATTTTAACATTACTTATCATCACTTATCAAGTATTCATAGAATTAATGAATATTCTCTACAGACAAGTTTAACATGAATATCAAATATTCAGTCTAATTGTTGGCAAATAACCATAACCATCTCTTATTTGAGGTGATATGTAAAGATATTGCTTTAGTAATATTCATATACATTTACTAGTGAATATTCATAGAATTTAGGAGTACCTATTTGTCTACTTCAACGTAGAATGGAAATCAAAGAGCCATAATATTCGGTCTAATTTCGCAAATAATAAATTATCTCCATATTTAGAGTGAACTGTAAGTACAGACTGCTCTAGCAAATATTCATACATTAACATTCTCTAAGGAATATTCGTAGACTTCGAATATATCCTACACAAGAGTAAAACAGAAATCAAAGGACCCAAATATTTGATCTACCTCTGTTCACACATAATAAGATTTTAGGTAGGTATCTTAAGACAGACAACTTTATCAAATATTCATATATAAATATTTACTATTGAATACACAAATATTCATCTAAACAAGTGTCTAGTGGAAATCAAATGGTCTAAATAATCAGTCTGGTTCGATTTACAATTAATCACTTTTCTAGAGACTAGGTGATATTTAAGGGCAGGAATACGTTAGCAAATACATGAATATTCACTTCATCCATTCATCTTTAAACAATATACCGAATTATCGTACTCACATTTATCCCGCCTACTTGAATGGTAACTTGCGCCGTCCCGGTGCCGTTGCTTCCCGTCGGGTCTTTGGTCAGCATCTCCTGCGCCCTTTCGGCCTGTTCCTTGGCCCTCCTGGTAATGTGCGACCTGGCGTGTTTCCTCAAATGGTCCTTCCTGTAAAACCCCTTGCCGCACTCGCCGCATATCTCCGTCTTCTCACCCGAGTGGATCACAAAGTGAAGGTTCAGGTGCTCCTTCCTCTTGAAACCCTTCATGCACACGGAACAGACGAACGGCCTCTCGGGGTTGTGCCCCAGCTTGTGCCGCTCTAGGTGCTCCTTCCGTTTCAGGCCGGCCCCGCATATGTCACAGATAAAACGCCTTTCAATCTTGTGGCCCACCAGGTGCTGCTCCAGCAGCTCCTTCTCGGGGTAGGCCATGTGGCATTCGGGACAGCAGAAGAGCGTGGTACCGTCCAGAGCCGTGGCGATGTGCACCTGACCCGGCTTGGGCTTCTTAGGCTTCGGCGGCTTCTTCTTGTACTTCTTCTTCTTCTTGCCCTTGTCGTTCGGATCGTCCACGCTTTCTTCCGTCTCCATTTCGGCCGTCGTCACTTCTTGCATGACGAGGTGGCCCTGGCCGTCGGTGGTGGCGACGTTCACCGTCTCTATCACCCCTTCTTCGGTTATTTGCTCCCGCTTGATGTCGGTGGTGTTGAACTTGAGGAATTGCTGTAGGCTGAGCGGCAGCGTGGTGTTCTGCATCTTCTGTAGGTACTCTTGTATGTTGGTGTTTTGGAGGTACTGGGCGGGGATGGAAATGGAAGCCGTAGCTGTGGGGTCCGATTCGTGGTCTTTGCTGTTGATTTCGTTTTTGATCAGGGCTACGGGCGTTGGTTCTTTATCTGGCTTTTCGGGTTCCGCCTGCGTTTGGATCAGCTGGATGTCTTGGGGTTGGAGGGCGGCTACCACCGTCATTCCTTCGGGCATGCCGTTTTGGCCGTCTAACTGTAAACAAGAACAAACATTTATAAAATTATGAGACTATTACGTGGTCGCCGTTACAGGAAGTTTTTTAAATTTCCTGTTTTAATTTTTTTTTTAATATAATCAAAAATATATTTAAACTTTAATAAAATTTTCAAAATTTGGAGCTTGTAGTATGTACATTTTATACTATTGCATTTCTACTCACAATCTGAATGCCCTCCTGGTTGGAGTTGTATGCGACCGTTAGGACGGTCGCGCCCTGTCCGAAGGCCTGTATTGGTATCTGGGAGATCTGGTACTTGGGTGAGCTGGCGGGACTAGCCTGCGAAACGGGCGTCGGTTGGGGATTCACCACCTGTATCTGAACAGTTTGTTGGGGATCGCCCGGTTTCGCCCCCGGCATAGTAATGGGCAAGGTTATTATTTGAGTACCCTGAAAAGGAAACTGAAATTTCACATATCAATAGCTTTCCTTCTTTTCGTTGGGCTGCCTTCTATACATCCACCGTGGGATGTTCCAAAACTTTCTTGTAAGAACAAAAAGGAATGTTCGCTTTCATTATCTATTTGGAAAAAAATCAATTTCAAGACAAATTCGATTCTCCAATCAGATATTTCCTCTTTTTATTTGTCTTCGAATTACTAGAGGTGATATTCACTTCCCGACTGTATTTCAAAAAGCATAATTTCAATTTCATTTTAATAAATTTAACTGCAGAAGGCAGTATTTGTGTATTAGATTAGATATCTATTTCAGAAAGCGTAAATTGTTTTTCAGAAAACATAAAATGCATTTTATTAAATTTTAATGCTGTCGTTATCAATTTTACATAATGTTGACCTGTTACGGTACGTTTAAGTTTTTTAGATTTATGTCTATAATGCATAAGTTCATTTTAGTTTTCAAGGAATATTTTATGTCCCTTGTAAAATTGTTATGTATATCTATAATAAATATGACGTTTTCTGATAAATCTGAAATACATCTTACCATTTTCTGAAATATATCTGGAAAAAGTGTAAATAGACCATTTTTTTCTTCTTTCTGATAATATATCATTATTTTAAAAAATAGGGGAAATACAGGGTATATTAATATATAAATAGAGTACATTTAAAATTTTTCAGTAGATTTCACACGTTTAGAAAGTGTAATCAAAAGGATCGCCAACAGGTGTTTCTGTAATTTAAAAAAAAATTAAATATGTGATTCCTGGCAGCTGTTTTTGAATACACAAGCAATCAAGGTCAAAACATGAATTTAAAAATTTAACAAATTACAATCTTACTAATTTTTTTTCAAACATCATTAACACGATTAAAGTTTCTGATAAGTAGTATAGTTCGACAATATAGGTAGTATAGTTGTAGACTGTGACTGAAATCATGAAAAAAGAAATAAAAAAAAAGTTTTACGTTATGGCGCCCATAATAAAATAAATTATTGTCATAACAAAGTCCTAACAAAATTAAAAACACATCTTAATTACATTTACATAAAACACCCCATATTTCTCATAATTACAATATACAGGGTAGGAAAGTACCGATGGTATATCTGAAGTTACGTGAGAGCGATAAAGTAAGCCATAGAAATCCATGCGATAGAGAAGGATGGCTATAATGAAGGCCTCTCATAGTCACCGCCCTTCCACAAATAAGATCCACTTCTTATTTGTGGAAGGGCGAAATGGGCGTTGACTATTAGACGCCTTCATTATACCCATCCTTGTCTATCACATGGATTTCTATGGCTTACTTTATCGCTCTCACGTAACTTCTGATAGACCATCGGTACTTTCCTACACTGTACACATATCATTGGCAAGCAACAAAAACGCTTTTGTATCTTTTTAGACTATAGTTTCAAAACAAAACAGCTGAAATTTACAAAGAAAAATATAAATTGATTATATGTTGAAAAGTTATAGAGCAGCATTTATTTTTATTCTAACCAATTTAATGGCAGAAACATAGAAGTGGTTGAATATATCAAGAAAATGAATCCGGCCTGTCTAAAATGTCTCTGATTTGGCAGTAGAATATGTCTCGAGAATCGAATTGGAATCTAATCGATTTGACTCACTCTGTAGGGTGACAATAATTATTCTCTTTTTATTGCAATATAATCCTGTATTATTAAGATAAAAGGTCATGCATAATCAAAATATGTAATTAGAAAAACAATTGAACATCACTTTAAAAAAATATGGGCAAATAACCGAATTTTCTTGGAAAAAATCAATCACCCTGTATTTTTTTTACAAAAAATGATATATGGGATCATATTACAAACGTTTTGATAATAGTTATACATTTGAACAGCTTCCGGTTTCCCATAATTATTTAGCCATACCCATATATAGGTCTGGTCGCCCAGTTGAAGAATGCGCGCGCGGACAAACGCCGCACACACACAGCCGCACTTGGCGACCGGCCATAAATTTCAGATATTAACAAATTGCCTAGCAGTGCAGTGCAGCAATGCGGAATTTGGTGTGATTCAGGTAATTTTAATTTCTTATATTATTATGCACCTTCTATTAATCATTCATATTGCAATTGCGAAAGATAGAAATAAGACGGATATTTTGTTTACTAGTATTATTACAATGTGGCATTTTGCAGACCTTTTGAAACGGAACAAAACGAAATACCGCCAGACAATATTGAATTAGTAGAACCGGTTGTTGATGAAACATATTTAGAATTTAAAAATAAAGATTTACATGTTCAATGTCTGCGTCTCATTTGAAATATTTACGATTGTTTAAAAAAGGAAGAAAATGAAAAATCAGATAATGAAATTATAAAAAGAATTCACATATTAATTAAAGTTTCAGTGTCTACAATTTTTCATGTTATTAAACAAGGTGTTATAGATCATTGCATAAAGAGGAAGCAAAAACAACAATTTAAAAATATAGACGACTTGACGAGAGACGTAATTCGACAATTTATAATTTGTACACATAAAGAAAATTGAGGTCATAAATAATTAAAATATGTTGTTGGCCAAATGAACATATAATAGAAATTTTCTACACATTATATACAAATTATTATTTTTTACCTTTACCGAAAACTTTTTTAGGGATGCCTATGAAACTCATTAAATTTTATTGCTAGGCGTTTTTATACAAGTTCAAATGACTTTGGAAAGACTATAAGATATTTTTTTTTGATTCTTTGAAATAAAAGAAACTATTACATTAATTTTCAAAAATGAATTTCCATGGTTTGAAATGAGGAATTTAGCATCGTAAATTAAAAAACAACTAAAGAAGGATCTGTTTCCACAAAGGAAACTGGATGTTAACATAAAAAAGTATAAAAAAAAATTAGAACAGGGTATATGGAACATTTTATTGTTAAGCGTTTTTATACATCTTCAACTGACTTCAGAAAGACTATAAAATAAAGCTTTTTCCTTTTTTCCTCAAAAAAAATAAAAATATTTTTTAAATTGTTGTTCAACTGTTTTTCTGTTTGCGTATTTAGACTTCTGACATGTCGTTCCAAGTCGCAATAAAAAGAGAATCATTGATCGCCCCGTACAACCCATAAGCATATGTACCAAACAATTACCTGGTTCTGTTGAGAGGTGGCGGTGGCAAAGGCGTTGGCGTCCAAAGGACGGATGTAGTGGACCCCATTCTCGCCTCCTTGCAGCACCCCCACGACCTGACCGTTCGGCGTGGTGACGCTCTGGGTGATCTTTCCCGCCGAAAATTGCGTGGCCACCGGTAAAGCCGCCGACAGAGGGACACCAAACGGCGAGAAGTTCATATTTTCTTAAAGTATCTGTAAAGAGGTTTACTATTATCGAACATTTGCAACAAAAATTATCTAGCCTAGGGCTGATATTAGATTTTCGTAAGTTTTTTAAGTCCTAAGTCTTCAATAGCGCAGTTATAAACCAACTGATGTATTAGCGACATCCGGGGTTCCGCAGGGATCAGTACTCGGGCTCCTGTTATTTAGTATATCCATAAATGACATATTAGAACATTCAAACATATGAATTGAATGCTGACGACTTAAAACTATTGATCTATTAATTTATGGTGTGCTTTACATAGAAAATTATTCCCATTACATTACAATTACATTGTAAATGATACTATATTGCATTCATTTAAAGACCTGTGTGTAATCTTTAACTAAAAACTGACCTTTGTCCGTCATATCGATAAAGCAATATCTGATGCTTTCAGAATTTGGATTTTATTAAGATATTTTAAGGACACCTCAACTCTTACTATACTTTTCAATGCATTTGTCTGAGCCAAAGAATTTAGAGGTCTTAGTTTTAAACTAGTTGATACTGATCTACACTCGAGGTGCTTCATGGTTGGAATTATTCGGTATATTCAATTTAAAGGACTTTCGAGTTTATTACTCCATACTATTTTTCTATAAACTTTAATCTGTGGCAGTAAACTGTCCAAATATTTTAAGACACATTCATTTGAATATTCTGGATGTTCAAACTCGCGCTAACGCACTTTTTTATTTGTCTACTCCGAGGACAAACGCACTTAAAAAGTCTCCTCTTTAAAAAAAGTGCACTCCAATCACATTTTTATCAGTTAAAGGCGAAAGGTGTTATTTGGTCCCCCCGTTACAAGTTACTAAAATATCTAATAGGCGATTCTTTTCAACAGGAAATGGTGTCAATCTTTTAATGACGTTATTAGTATTCATACATTGCCGTGGTTTTTATACCTTTTCTAACAACATGACCTTAACAGATGCAGTTTTAGTGCCATGCGGTAAAAAATGTGCGGTACTCGCGTTGACTTTATAAGGTGTACCAGAAAAGTTTCAAGAAGGGAAATATTTTTAAGAGATATGTGTGATGTCTGGTGCATTGACCTGTTATTTCCTGTTCAATAATTTTTAGTGAGCCTTACGTAATTTAGAGCTTACTTTACCATATCTAATAATGTGCAGATCAAAAATCCGTGTCTGAAAGCAATTAAGTATCGTCTGTGTAAAAACAAATTGTTCAAAACGGATGGGACTATACATAGTTCGACAAAAATCTTATTCACTCTTGCAGTCATATACAGGGTGTCCGCAAATTTCACCGACAACGTTTGATTGCATATTTACGAGGATAAATAAATACGATCTACGAAAAAAAAATAATAATAAAACCTCTTTGGTTTTTGAGTTACAGTCCTTCAAAGTTGTCAAAAATAAAATTAATTTAATTAATAACTTCATAATCCTTTCATCGATCGCGTTAAAATTTGGCACACTTATTTGGACTATTATGACAAATTATTTCTTAAAGCTTTAGTCAAATCAATATACTGGGTGATAGTTTTTTCCGGTTATATCTTCCTTTTAGCGGTCAAAACTTTTAGAGGTCGTATTTTTTTAAAATTGGCAGCAACTTCGAAAAGGTCGCTTTATTAAAAAACATATTGTCTCTTTGGCCGTTTTAAAAAAGATACGGCCACTGTAAAAGGTTTGACCGCTAAAAGGGAAGAGGTAACCGGAGAAAACTATCACGCAGTATATCGATTTGACTAAAACTTTAAGAAATAATATGCCATAATAGTCCAAATAAATGTCCTAAATTTTAACGCGATCGGTTTATGAAGTTATTAATTAAATTAATTTTATTTTTGACAACTTTGAAGGCTTATAACTCAAAAACCAAAAAATTATTTAACGTTTTTTTCGTAGATCGTATTTCTTTATCGTCGTGAATATGCAGTCAAAAGTTGTCTGTGAAATTTGCGTGCACCCTGTTTATGCTGAAAACTGAAATTTCAGTAAAAATCTCTATCTTAAAAGTCGCTAGGTACTGAGAAATAGATCTTAATTAATGAAATCGGATTCTCGAGAAAACCCACACCGAAATTGGGGCCCATTTTTAGCAGTGCGTTATTTTTTATGCTTTGATGCAATTAAAAAATAATAAAAAAATACACAAATATACAAAATGTATATTGTGTTTCACTTTTCATATTTCACTTATTTGAAATTTTTTCACATTTTTGTACAAAATAATTAACCAGCAAAGCAATTATTAATTAAAAATGTCAAAACGTTTCGATTTAAAATAACCAAGATATAAATGTGAAAAGTGAAACACTGTACATTTAAAAATCTGGCCCTTTTCCTCAAAATTAGATGCAACATAAACATTTTTACGTTTCGGCACATTACCACGCAATCCGCATGAAGCTAACTCAAAAATCCAACGGTGCCATATCGTGACATACAGGCGGTCATTCCTTTAAAAGTTTTAAATTTTACCGAATGGTTCTGTCATTATTACATTAATTTTTTAACAAGTAATATTGTTACAATCTACAAAAACACAGTCCCTGACCTCACTTTTTTGAGTCGTATAAAAAGAGATTTTAAATCAAAATGAGGTCATACATTTACTTGATTAAGAACAAGAAGTTGTAGATATTGACAAGGAGGTTATTAATTCATTTTTAACAATTTTTACCCGCTGAGAGTTTAGTAATTCTTAATTATAAACAGAATCTGGCGCATTTATATCATTTTTATGGAAATTCTAATATTCCAGCATCTTTTTAGGAACAAAAAAATCAAAGCCGGGAAATTCCAATTTTATCAACATATTCATTGATGTTATTGTTGTTATTTTTTCTTTAGGATCGTCTTTTTTTTTCAAAGTTCGGTATTTGTTTTGAGTATGATTTGCCTTTTATTTTCATAACCGTTCGCTGTCAATTTATTTTTGCGTTACGTTCACATGAATATTGATTTTCAACTTATTTTTCAAAAAAAAAAAAAAAAGTTGCCGCATCTGCACTATAAAACAAAAACCACCGCAACCATAGAAAAAAACTCACTTACACAATCGACTAACAACTATCACAACCAAATTAAAGCACCAAAAATTGGGGTATTGCACGGAAAATCACAAAAAAAAACTCAAAAATCAAAACAAAAACACGAATTTGACAACCACGTCCTTGGGGGTACCCCCGAAACGCACAAGGGGGGATGTTCTGGCTGGCAAAGAGTGGTGCAGAAGCAACATAAGGTACGCAGAGTGGTACTACGGCGTAGAGTGGAAAGAACTACACGGCGTAAGTGGGGTACTTGGCTAGAAAACGATCACGTGACCTTTTTGGTCTCTGTCGAGTTACCGAAAGGTACGGCCGGTAGGACGGAGAAGGAAGTAGAGAAATCCGACCGTGGGGATGTCAACCTAGTTACCTACTTCTAGATACTTTCACCTGTGTTCGAGCGGTTAGTACGGGAGATGGGGGCGAAAAATCCGAGACGCGCCAGTGTCAGATATCCTTGGATTTCGGTGGATTGGGTGCACTTTTACTGGGCCAGTAATAGTAACGATGTAATACGTGCGACGGGCGAGTTAATGAAACTCGAGATTTTACTCCGAGATAGTTTCAAAAGTGCAGTTTAAAATGTTTTTCTCGGTCTGGATCGGTACTATGCTAACTACACGAAAGTTGATTCAAATAATAATTTGTACTCTTGTTTTACTTTTATTTTTCCTTCAAGTGTTATGGTTTCTGTGAATTTATATAGATGTATATACAGGGTGCTTCACAAATGGTGGCCAAAAATGAAACTTCGTATTCTTTTGTGAATTTTAAGGGGAGTTCTTCCTAAGTTTTTATCTAGCACACTTCGTTAAAAAGATGCAGGTTGTTAAACTTAAAAAAATGTTTTTAATTTTTTTTTAATAATTTAAAAACCAGTGAGTGAAATAATTTGAAATTGGGCATATGTATTTATGTAAACATGGTCCAAAATCTTAGGGCTTTTCCTAAAATTTACTTGTTCCAGTGGCGGAGTTACAGGGTATCGGTGGCACATTTTTCTAAATAAAATAGTACGCCACTGCTTTACGGTAACAACCATGATATTTTCGGATTCGTCTTCCAATTTTCTACAAATTACTTATGTTTTTCGAAAAAAACCTGTTTTTCGAGTAAAACTTAAAAAACGAAATGAGAACACACTTCTATATTCGATTATAATGCTTTTTAAAATGACATCAAATGGGTCATGAAAAAAGTATAGCGTCATTGTTTTTTATCAACAAATAGATAAAAAATTTGTCATTTTTCGTTCTACGCCTTATTGTAAAAAAAATTATTAATCTTAGCAAAAAAGTTCAACGACGATTTGATGTAGAGAAACTCAACTTTCCCAAAATGTGAGTTTTTATGTCCTTAAGAGATGTGCAAAAGATGGGCTCGATCGGTCAAATAGTTTTTGCAAAATTCCATTTATTTATCCCATTTTTGCAAAAAAGGCACATTGACTATTGACAATGACTATTCCGAGGGCAGGGTTATGACTAAAACATTCTTTTTGGGCTCATTTTCTTCGAAGGGACACCAAGTATCCTTTAGTTAAAAAAAAATATTTTTTTTCAAATTTAATTGTATTTAATTGTTACCAAATAGAAGGCACCTTTTTCCCTAATAAACAAATAAAATAACTCCGCGGTTTTTAATTTTTGAAAGAAATAAATTAATATTTTAATTTTTTTTATTATTTCATACTTTTTATATAATTATGGATTTTGTATATTGATTAAAGGATTAATTATTTTGTAAAATTATTATTAATATATTTATAATTTGTATAAAAATATATAAAATATTTCCATAGATACTGAGAGTAGAATTTTTTTTTACAATTCATTATAAATTTCAACTTCAATTTGGGGGTTGAATTAATTTTGAAGGGTTAAAATAATTTTGACATTTTTTTAGTGAGAACTATTGACTAAAACATTTCAAGTAAAAAAAAAATGTAAAAAAAAA